CTTTGTTAATTATCCCTATAGAAGACAAGGGACTGTCTTGTATAATGGTGGGTCTTTGCTGATTATCCCTATAGAAGACAATGGACTGGTTTGTATAATGGTGGGTCTTTGTTAATTATCTCTATAGAGGACAAGAGACTGTCTTGTATAATAGTGGGCCTTTGTTAATTATCCCTATAGAAGACAAGGGACTGTCTTGTATAATGGTGGTAGGTGTTGAAATATCTTGGGTCGGCAGTAAAATCTAGGGTTGGTAAGGATACCCGATACACATTTTTTCTTTTGGTCGTATAAAACTATGATGTTGAGGGTTCTTAACACATAACATTAAGGATTCTAAAACTGTAATCAGACAATTTGCTTTAAACACATGTGACTGTAGCAGGAATATGTGTTTTTTGTTATTTTGTTATGTGTACTTCAGTTATTTCAAGGGTATGCTTCTATCAGAATGTACTGTCATGGTGATCAACATCAAATAAAATACAGGATGTATTTAAATCAGTTATAGGTTTGAAGTGAGGTACTTAATCCATATTCTGTATACATAGAACCTCCAGTAAAAGTGTGTTCTGACCTTATGTCGTGTGTGTGATTTAAGGATTTAAAAAATCTAATTTGAAATGTTGAAAATAAATTATGACTTGTGTGAAGAGATGATGTAACTGACCCTATTGACCCATGACCTTGATATTTTGATATTTCTATGTTTAGGTGAGCTGAAGCAGTCACTGCCAAACATTGTGGTGGAGATCCTCGAGGATAAACTCGACAATGACTATATTGATTATATTGCCAACATGATCCTGAAGAATGCTGGTGCCTCATCTCCTCCCTCATCTAATTCTGCTCCTTCAACTTCCTCTTCTGCTTCGTCCTTTTCTTCCTCTGCCTCCTCCTCCTCTGTACCATCAACTTCGGCTGTCCCCATGGCAATGATTGACGACTCCCTCGGTGCTTCAACCAGCCAGCAGCCATCCAAAGGACTAGAGTTCAAGGACGCAATGGAAACTGCAAAACCAGAGCCACTTACAGTGAAAAAGGAACCGATGATGGAAGACTGTCCACCCAACTGGACACCAATGGATAAACGATCTGTAAGTAAATGACATTATAGGTAAACAGAAAATTTGATCTTTTCGAAGTTCAACATATACTTAACCAATTTCAAAACCTTATGTAGAATATGCAATTTCCAAAAATTGTAAAAAAAACAACACTTTTTTTTGGTCAGAAAAATATCTTTATAAATATTTTAATCACTTTGGTGACGTCCCTGTTACTGGTTTCTGAGCAATAACTAATAAATAATGATCTGATTTCCATGAAACTTTCTACACATACCTATAGCATCTATTCCTGGGTCAAGTTTGATACTGTTATCATAATTAAAGAACATACTAAATAAACTTATCTCGACAAATAGTAGCCTTTTGACTGGCTGTTGGGTATTTCATGCACTCTTAGCTGTATAGGCCAAACATTTTACTTGCTGTAAATATAAGCTATAGGTATTTTGCCCAGCCTTTGGCCAAACACTTGATTGGCAGTTGGGTTATTGGCCTGCTCTTAGGCCAAATATTTCACTGACCATTGGGTATTTCACCCACTCCCAAGCCTAACATTTGAATAACCTTGGAATATTTGACCCTCTGCTTTGCCAAATATTTGACTGGCCATTGGGTATTTGGTTTGATAGGCTTTGAGGTATTTTCACCTGTTTTTGAGGCAAGGATTAGACAGGCCATGGAATGTTTGGCCATCTAAAATTTTAAGTTGTATGTTTTTCTTCCAAATCCATCTTTTTGAGATTCTAGACTTCAGTTTTTAGCTGATGTCAAAAATGATCAACATATCAAATTTGACCAAATCAGCATGTTTTCAATTGTACACCCCTAATTACACTGTTCAAAAATGTTCCCTTCCTTCCTCTTGCATTTTGTCATATTTGAGGTGGTAGAATAATCAATATAATTATGGTTGGTCTATGGATTGTATCCTGCAGGACTAAAAAAAATACCATTGAACTTTTTTACTTTGGCCTATTTTCATTTAATGTTCTGTTTCCTATGACAAGAAGGTGAAATACAACATTTATACAGTAGACTTTTTTCATGACTATATTGAACAAGCTAATCAATTAAAGGTACAGGGTGGATTGGTCGAGTGGTTAACACTCTGGCCTTTAACGCAGGTGGCCAAGGTTTGATCCCTGAAGTCGTACACATTGGAATATTCAGAGAAAGTGCCTACACAACTCCAACAACCCAGGTGGAGTATAAAATGGTCTGGGGTGAATGTTGCGGTATCTGTGCTGTAGCATTCAAGTGAGGTGGTACTATAAATGATACCATTTGAAGCACGGTCCCACTACAAACAATACACAATATATCTCCAGTTAACATGCAGGCATACACATAGGGAGATGTTAGCCAGGTGGCATAGGACTAGTGTTTAGCATCTGATAAGGCAGCTCATGTGAATTGCTCAAAACAGTATTGATTAATGTATATGTTAATTGTATTGATTGTATAAAATTGTATATCTATGTACTGTGAAGCGCTTTAGAGTGGCTTCTTCTAGCTAGATAGGGCACTATATCAAATGTTGTATATTTATTTTATATTTTTTGAGCGATTCTGTATCTAATACTTAATCAATGTTTATCGTGTTGTGACCGAGTTATTTTATGGTTCCTCTGGAGCCAGAGTCACAGGAATATGTTGTATCTAATACTTAATCAATGTTTATCGTGTTGTGCCCGAGTTATTTTATGGTTCCTCTGGAGCAAGAGTCACAGGAATATGTTGTATCTAATACTTTATCAATGTTTATCGTGTTGTGACCGAGTTATTTTATGGTTCCTCTAGATCTTGAGCCAGAGTCACAGGAATATGTTGTATCTAATACTTTATCAATGTTTATCGTATTGTGACCGAGTTATTTTATGGTTCCTCTGGAGACAGAGTCACAGGAATATGTTGTATCTAATACTTAATCAATGTTTATTGTATTTTTACAGAGCTATTTTATGGTTCCTCTGGAGCCAGAGTCACAGGAATATGTTGTATCTAATACTTTATCAATGTTTATCGTATTGTGACCGAGTTATTTTATGGTTCCTCTGGAGCCAGAGTCACAGGAATATGTTGAATCTAATACTTAATCAATTTTTATTGTATTTTTACAGAGCTATTTTATGGTTCCTCTGGAGCCAGAGTCACAGGAATATGTTGATGTTGCCCTCAAGTTCCACAACTCAATGAAGTTCCCAGCAGCAGACATCACTAAGATCTTCAGAGTTCAAAACCCGATTCTGTGGAAATATTACACAGTGTAAGATATCCGCCAGAGTCTATCAAGTTATCAAGGCTTGTAAGATTATAATCTACAGATCTAAATCTGTGTGTTTATCAAACTATTTATTTTTAACAGGGACTATAAGTTTATCAGGAACTTAAGTTTATTAAATCTATATGATTATTGAAAGTTTATCATCAGTCTGTATGTTCTATCAGAGTTGTCAAGTTAATCAAAATGGTAAGTTTGTCAGTCTGTAATTATAAGTTTGTCAAAGTCATAAGTTTGTTAAATCTGTAATTATAAGTTTATTAAGTCTCTAATTATATGTTTATCAAAATGGTAAGTTTATTAAGTCTTTTAAGATCACCTGAGCTTTGCTCAAGTGACCTATTCCGATCACTTTCCGTCCGTCGTCCGTCGTGCGTAAACTCTTTACATTTTCAACTTCTTCTCAAGAACTAGTGGATGGAATTTTTCAAACTTGGTCAGAATCATCCTTGGTAGATGAGGCTACAAAAGTGTAAATTGGGATTCCTACCCCAACCCCTGGGGCCAGGGTGGGGCCCAAAGGGAAAATTAATCAATATTTCAAAAATCTTCTTCTCCAGACTCAGAGGTACTACAGTCATTTTCTCTGCATGGATGGAAAGATCATCAGGGGCTTTATTTAAATTGTAAATTCCAGGATCCCCGAGCTATCCGTTCTCCCTTTGGGAGGGGGAAAGTTTACTATAGTTTATATAGGGAAATAACACTTTTGGGTATATTTTATGCATTTTCAGCAGAAAATTATTCAAACTTGGTCAGAATCATCTTTGGTGGATGAGGGTATTACATTGTAAAATTGGAATTCCTGCCCCATCCCCAGGGGCTAGGATGGGGACCCAAAGGGAACATTTACCAATATTTTAAAATTCTTATCCTTTGATGACATGACAAGTATTGTATTTCACTTAGTTTACATGCTGATTTCCACATCACATCTAAACAATAAAATAAAGCTACCAGTACCTATGATATAACTCAGGTGACCGCTAAGGCCCTTGGGCCTCTTGTATTATAAGTTTGTCAAAGTTGAAGTTTGTTAAGTCTGTAATTATAAGTTTATCTAAATGGTAAGTTTGTTAAGTCTTTTGTTATAAGTTTGTTAAAGTCTTAAGTTTGTAAAGTCTGTAATTATAAGTTTATCAAAATGGTAAGTTTGTTAAGTCTGTAATTATAAGTTTATCAAAGTTGTAAGTTTGTTAAGTCTGTAATTATCAAAGCCGTAAGTTTGTCAAGTCTGTAATTATCAAAGCCATAAGTTTGTCACGTCTGTAATTATCAAAGACGTAGGTTTTTCAAGGCCATTTAGATGTAGAACAAGGTAATGTGTTATTTACTCATAGGGTTGTGCCTGTAACTACTGAGTTTATTCTTACAGGAAGAGAACCGAGATGATTATAGAGAATGACGGCTTAGACATCCAGGAAAACAGTCTGTTTCATGGAACTACAAGCTCGGTACTGGACGCCATCTGTAAAAAAGGATTTGATTGGAGAGTCTGTGGAAAAAATGCAACAGTTTATGGCCAAGGTAAGGGAAGATGTAGTAATAACAATCAATAGTAACAATTAAGATTGTTTACACACGGTACCATCTTTGCAAGAAAAAAGTTAGGGACGTAAAGAGTAATTTTCAGCCTCATTAGGGATTTAGAGTTACTTGTGATATTCGTAACATGGAAAAAATAAAGTACACAAATATGAAATTTCAAATTAATTTGACAACTGGTTTAGGAGATATGGCATTACAAAGAGGGACATAAACATGCATTTTCATAATAAAATGTGTTAATGATAACAAAAAGCATGAATAACGTCTGTTGTGAGCTATTTGGTTGGAAATTGGCCATTTTGAAGGAAATTAACTAAACACACTTCAATTTTTGAAAGCTTCCACATGCAACAAACAAATAAATATTTGACATGATTAAACATTTTTATATCATTTGTAGAAAGGAATATTTGTTTGTCGCTTGCGGAGGCTTTCATTTCTGCATGCTAGCTCTCCAAAAACACTACATTTTTTTGCCTTTTCTGCAAAATAACGCAGTTGCATTGGGTGAAATTTTTGTCTGTACACCGTATTACTATCATTAGTTTTTTGCCTGTAGACTATTACTATCATTAGTTTTTTGCCTGTACACCGTATTACTATCATTAGTTTTCTGCCTGTACACCGTATTACTAGCATTAGTTTATTGTCTGTACACCGTATTACTATCATTAGTTTTTTGCCTGTACACCGTATTACTAGCATTAGTTTATTGCCTGTACACCGTATTACTATCATTAGTTTTTTGTCTGTAGACCGTATTACTATCATTAGTTTTTTGCCTGTACACCGTATTACTATCATTAGTTTTTTGTCTGTACACCGTATTACTATCATTAGTTTTTTGCCTGTACACCGTATTACTATCATTAGTTTTTTGTCTGTACACCGTATTACTATCATTAGTTTTTTGCCTGTACACCGTATTACTATCATTAGTTTTTTGTCTGTACACCGTATTACTATCATTAGTTTTTTGCCTGTACACCGTATTACTATCATTAGTTTTTTGTCTGTACACCGTATTACTATCATTAGTTTTTTGCCTGTACACCGTATTACTATCATTAGTTTTTTGTCTGTACACCGTATTACTATCATTAGTTTTTTGCCTGTACACCGTAGTACTATCATTAGTTTTTTGCCTAACGTATTACTATCATTAGTTTTTTGTCTGTACACCGTATTGCTATCATTAGTTTTTTGTCTGTAGACCGTATTACTATCATTAGTTTTTTGCCTGTACACCGTATTACTGTCATTAGTTTTTTGTCTGTACACTGTATTACTATCATTAGTTTTTTGCCTGTACACCGTATTACTGTCATTAGTTTTTTGCCTGTACACCATATTACTATCATTAGTTTATTGTCTGTACACCGTATTACTATCAATACTATCATTAGTTTATTGTCTGTAGACCGTATTACTATCATTAGTTTTTTGCCTGTACACTGTATTACTATCATTAGTTTTTTGTCTGTACACCGTATTACTATCATTAGTTTTTTGCCTGTACACCGTCTTACTGTCATTAGTTTTTTGCCTGTACACCATATTACTATCATTAGTTTTTTGCCTGTACACCGTATTACTATCATTAGTTTATTGTCTGTACACCGTAATACTATCATTAGTTATTTGTCTGTTCACCGTATTACTATCATTAGATTTTTGCCTGTACACCGTATTACTATCATTAGTTATTTGTCTGTACACCGTATTACTATCATTAGTTTTTTGTCTATACAGTGTATTACTATCATTAGTTTTTGCCTGTAGACTGTTTTACTATCATTAGTTTTTTGTCTGTACACCGTATTACTATCATTAGTTTTTTGTCTGTACACCGTATTACTATCATAAGTTCTTTGCCTGTACACCGTATTACTATCATTAGTTTTTTGCCTGTACTTTAAACACAGTAATATCATCGGTAAAAATTTTGCCTGTACTTTATATACAGAACTATTGTTGGTGTTCTCTAGAACTTTAGTTGGTGGTTATGAATTGTTATTGTGTTGAATGCTAATACTGTACATACTTGACAATGATCTAGCATACACACCATAAGGGAGAAAATGTAGTGTAGTTTTGCTGATCTTTCGCTGAAGTTTATAACCAATATTGATATAACTCTCAATAATGTATAACACATTCAATGTTGGTTTGATTTCAGGTTCATACTTTGCTGTGAATGCCTCGTATTCTCACATGTATACGGATAATGGCAATGAGAACCGTCGGCGTGGACGTGTTGTTACCCTGCTGTCCGGGATGCCTCGCCCAATGCCTGCCCATGTGCCGTACCTGTCAACGTCTACTTCTAATGTTTTGTCCCAGCAGATTGGGTTCAGTCCCACCACCATACAGGTGTATACGCCACCCACTTCTATCTCCTCATTACCCACAGGAACCAATAATGTCCCTCTCTCCAACATCACGCCTTCTAATCCTGCCAGCTCCTCTCACTTGGTGGCACAAGGTCTGGTTGCTCCTCCCACTTTGAACAAAGGATCAAATAATTCCAGTTTGGTGCCGCAGCAACAGGCAGCCTCATCATCTGTCCAGCAGCTGGCTCCAGGACCCATCAGAAACAGATACCTCACTACCCAGCTCTCAATTCGCAGCAGACTCATGATGCGGCGTGACAGTATGAGTGAGTTGAAGAATCCGTCAATACCTACCCCAATTGGTCAACCCGCTCTGGGCAACCCGGCAGACCTCCTACCATCAAATAAAACTGTACATAGAATGTTTCTGGCAAAGGTGCTAGTAGGGAAGTACACTGGGGGTCACAGCGGACTGAGGAAGCCTCCTCCATTATACCCTTGTACCGATCCGTACGGAAAGTGCTACGACTCATGTGTCGACAACATACACAACCCCAAAATATTTGTCATATTTGACACAGCGCAGGCCTACCCTTCCTATGTACTAGAGTATCATTGTGAGGAGGGGCAGTGAGATGTGGTGTTGTGTAATACATGGAAGTTTGGATGTTTTGTGTGTAGCTAGTGTAAGACAAACAGTACTTCAAGGTTGTTCGCCATGTTGAGACTGTCACCATGGTAAATATATACCAAACAGAAATGGCTGCAGACATTCAACTGTTTATGTTGTGAAAAAGTAAATAGTATGTTATAGGTTTCTCTATTTTAGTGGCTGTGATTATATATCGAGCATTGATTTTGTCAATTTTACTTGTTATTTAAAGAACAATTACAGACATGTTTGCTACCTCTTGTTTTCTCACCTTACCAGAGATCACATGCATCACTGCTAAAATGCTGGTCAAGCATCTGGATGTGTCAATAATTTGGCAACATTAATTGTCAGCAGATGTGTCACTAGGTAAATCAGGTAAGCTTAATTCTCTTACATCTAGTATTGACAGATGTGTCGCTAGGTAAATGATCAGGCAAGCCTATTATATGGAGTATTGACGGATGTGTCACTAGGTAAATCGGGCAAGCTTAATTCTCCTACATCGAGTATTGACAGACGTGTCGCTAGGTAAATGATCAGGCAAGCTTAACTCTATTACATGGAGTATTGACAGACGTGTCGCTAGGTAAATCTGGCAAGCTTAACTTTCTCACATTGAGTATTGACAGACCTGTCGCTAGGTAAATCGGGCAAGCTTAACTTTCTCACATTGAGTATTGACAGACGTGTCGCTAGGTAAATCAAGCTAACTTAAAATTAACTGGTCCTACATTAAGTGTCAATGGACATGTCATTATCAGGCTAACTTTGCCTTGTCCTACATCAAATATCAGAGAATGTATCGCTGCATCAAATGTTGAAAGACGTGTCACTAGAGTAATTCAGATGCCTCAGGTATTGACAGGCCTATCTCTAGGTTAATCAAGCTAGTTCTACAGTCAGTGTTGATTAACATGTCATAATCAGGCAAGCTCACCTAGTCCTGCATCAAGTGTTTCGATGGACACGTCACTAGAGTAGTCTGCCTACATCAAGTGTTTTGATAGACACGTCACTTGATCTAGAGAAGACTGCCTACATCAAGTGATGGCAGACATGTCTCTAGTGTAAACAGGTTACATACATCAAGTGCTGGTGGATATGTCTCTAGGTTGCATTGGTTGGTTATTGGTTTGACATTTTACTTATACTTTTACCTGTGTTTGTATAGAGTTGAAGCTCTCACTCAGGAAATCAAGCTACCTAACCTAGTACTTCATCAACAGGTGTAGACTCAAAATTTTGGATGATCATGTGGAGGATTTGAAAAGGAAGAGAATTGCTGAACTTTATAATTAATTTTCAAAAAGTATTGTAGATTTTCTCCTTGCCCTCTTACAAGAACTTTATTTTTATATATGGATGATTTCTTGGTGTAGTTTCTTATTCGATGTAATCCAGCTCTATCTGAACGGTAATTTATATGTTCCCAATCATTAAATTGGTAGTGGTGAGTTTAGAAACCAAGAAGGCAAACATTTTATTGGTTACGCTTGTTATGATAAACATGTATGTAAAGCACATGTAATGTAAAACAGAAATATATCCACTTAGTTATAGAGTAAAATGTGATATGTATGTACTTCAACCTCGGGTACAAATTTAATAAATTAACTTTAGGTCCGGAGATACAAATTTAATACATCTTTAGGTCCGGAGATACAAATTTAATACATCAACTTTAGGTCCGGAGATACAAATGTATACATTAACGTGATGTATGGAGATACATGTACAAATTTAATACATTAACTTTAGGTCCGGAGATAGAAATTTATACATCAATATGATGTATGGCGATACAAATTTAATACATCAACTTTAGGTCCGGAGATACAAATGTATACACTAACGTGATGTATAGAGAGATACATTTACAAATTTAATACATCAACTTTAGGTCCGGAGATACAAATGTATACATTAACGTGATGTATGGAGATACATGTACAAATTTAATACATTAACTTTAGGTCCGGAGATGAAATTTATACATAATATGATGTATGGCGATACAAATTGAATACATTAACTTTAGGTCCGGAGATAGAAATTTATACATCAATATGATGTATGGCGATACAAATTTAATACATTAACTTTAGGGCTGGAGATACAAATGTATACATTAACGTGATATATGGAGTTACATGTACAAATTTAATACATTAACTTTAGGGCTGGAGATACAAATTTTAATACATTGACTTTAGGTCCAGAGATAGAAATTTATACATCAACATGATGTATGGAGATACAGATTTAATACATCAACTTGTCTACGAAGATGCAAATTTAATGCATCAACTTGTGTAGGGAGATACATGTACAAGTTTAAAACACCAACATTAAATACAGAGATGCAAATTTAATACATTAACTTTAGGCCGGATATTCAAATTTTATGCTTTAACTTAAGGTCTGGAGTTATACATTTTATGTTTTAACTTAAGGTCCGGATATACACATTTTATGCATCAATTTAAGGTCTGGATATACAAATTTTATACTTTAACTTAAGGTTCAGATATACAAATTTTATGCTTCAACTTAAGGTCTGGAGATACAAATTTTATGCTTCAACTTAAGGTCTGGAGATACAAATTTTATGCATCAGCTTAAGGTATCGAGATACAAATTTAATATGTCAACCTGGGGTATGGAGATACATATATCATTCATCAATTTGTGTTATAGAAATACAAATATAACTGAAAAGTGTTGAGACATTTTAAAATGTAATATAATTTACCAATTTTTATTCTCTTTTGTCATTGGTGTTTTTTATTGAACAGAATCAACCTTTATACTGTGATTTTGTTATAATCTTAAGGAGAACTTTTATCTTATTTAACCCTTTCACCCCTATGTAACTTTAGTAAACTCTACCATGCATTGATCTAGATGAGTCCATTTTGGTCTACAGTGGTAAAAGGGTTAAGAGTGTTGTTGAAAACGATGTTTCATACATAACACACAATAGACTTGAGAATATGTGTAGTTCATGTTAAATATCATTCAGTACTCTTGTGTATGCTTATTTAATGATTAGTAAAATTCTCCTAGGCATTATTATAAACACTGACCATTGACCAGATGAAAGAACAATTTCAGAAACAACAATATTCTTTAGGAGTCCAGACCATTGTGTTATATTGAATGTAACCATACTTTTGTGAAGACAAGTTTAGTAAAGTCTTTGCATATTTCTAAAATCAATCGGTCCCTGAACGAAATTCTGAAAACTTACGTATTTTAGCAGTTGTCTTTTTGCGCAGAACTAAACAATGAATTCACCAATTGAACTTCTGTACTTATTGTTACCGGTATTCTCAATTGAATTTTTTGTTGTTGCGCCAATTCATATATGTGCTATAATCTGTTAAATTTCATTAATGCGCTAAATTTAAGTGCTTTAAAATAACTGTTTTAACATAACTATTTAGCTATGGTGAAACTTTTCCAAGCAACTTTTTATTAGCAGTCTGTGAAATGCCAGTTAATATTGTATCACTGAAGGCACTATTTAACACCAAGCTTCCTGTGGTTACACCTCTATCAACTAGGTGTCTTTGTGAAATAACAGATTGAGTGCTCGAATCTCTGTATAGTGCTTTTTATAACGTTAAGTGTTAAACTGATGATTTATGCCATTGTGTAATATGTTTTCTTTCCATTTTTAAAATTCTTTTATTACAAGAATCATGTGAGGAGTAATTATATGATGGTCACTCAGCTTTTCTGTCTTCATCATATGTCAATCGTCCCTACAGAATTTTTAACCATTTAAAAAACTTATGTTTTATAATTGAATATTGTTAATTGATAATTTCTTACTCCTGATTGTGATGATTGTTTCTCAATCATCTCCTACATGTACAGATAAATTTTGTTTCACAACTAAAAACTTCTGCAATACAGACAGACCATCAGAGCTTACTTGTTGAACAAACTGTCCTCTCATGAAGGAGTGAACACTGTGATAGATGTGTGTGCTTTATGTCTGGAATAAGTTATTGTCAACACAGCAGTTACATAAAGAAACTGTTCATTGATATGTCACATACAGGAAGGTCAACACAGCAGCTACATAAGGAAGCTGTTCATTGATAAGTCACATACAGGAAGGCCAACACAGCAGCTACATAAGGAAGCTTTTCATTGATAAGTCACATACAGGAAGGCCAACACAGTAGATACATAAGGAAGCTTTTCATTGATAAGTCACATACAGGAAGGCCAACACAGTAGATACATAAGGAAGCTTTTCATTGATAAGTCACATACAGGAAGGCCAACACAGAAGCTACATAAGGAAGCTGTTCATTGATAAGTCACATACAGGAAGGCCAACACAGTAGCTACATAAGGAAGCTTTTCATTGATAAGTCACATACAGGAAGGCCAACACAGCAGCTACATAAGGAAGCTGTTCATTGATAGGTCACATACAGAAAGGTCAATGCAACAGCTACATAAGGAAGCTGTTCATTGATATGTCACATACAGGAAGGCCAACACAGCAGCTACATAAGGAAGCTGTTCATTGATAGGTCACATACAGAAAGGGCAATGCAACAGCTACATAAGGAAGCTGTTCATTGATATGTCACATACAGAAAGGCCAACACAGCAGCTACATAAGGAAGCTGTTCCTTGATATGTCACATACAGGAAGGCCAACACAGCAGCTACATAAGGAAGCTGTTCATTGATATGTCACATACAGAAAGGTCAACACAACAGCTAGATAAGGAAGCTGTTCATTGATATGTCACATACAGGAAGGGCAGATCACCAACAAATAACTACATAAATGGTGGACTTCTAAATGGTACTGACCAACTTCAACAATTTGAAGATAACAGACTATTGACACTGGACATTGCTACTGATAATTCTTGTAATTTAGTTACTTGCTGTGAGTTTGTGATGATTTATTAGTCTGGTTGATTGAATGAGATCCTTCGATAGTGCTGTTGAGTTTTTCAGATGTACATCTCTTTATGTATATATATGTACACCTGTAGTGTTGCTGTGAACATGGAAATGTGCCAACAATTTCACTTTTAAATCACAGGATAGAAATTTAAGAATTACTTTTATCAATAAGTAAATAAATATATATATTGATGATTTCACTTGGGTCACTGAATGTGAAGTCTGCATTCTTTGACAAATATCTTCATTGATATTAAATGTATTTGTCAAAACATTTCAATGATTTAAGTCTAGCTATATATACTGTACGATTACTTAAGATGTTTCCTGGTTATGTTTGAACCTCTAACTGATTACGAGGCCATTATGTGACGGTTGTTGTCTAATTGAATCTCTCATTATATATTATGTATCAATTCTATAACATATACCAGTAATGATGAATTTTTACTTCATCACTAAATGATACCGTTGGAGAAATCGAAATATTTGCATGTTTCAGGAGAAAAAATGTGAAAAGATATTTCTGTAGTGAACTGATTTATATAATTATTGTCAAATATTTTGCCAGCCTTGGCATAAGTCTACATAGATATTCCATCTTGTATTGAATCTAAAGCAGAAATCATCGGAGAATGTGATGTTTCGATATATGAAATTGCATGTAATCCTTAAAGTGTATTTTGAGTTGGAAAGATGAAAATGTATTACAAGTAGAGTAAGAAGGACCAAGCTTTTACTGTGGGGCAGTATCTACCAATTTATGAAAAAGTAAAAAAACACACCACCTTAATGATAGGCTATTATATTTATCGTTTTGATATAAAGAACTATCTGATGTCCCAGATTAAGTACATGTATTGCCATTCTAAAACCATTTTGAAATCAAAGATGGTCACCTCTGATTGGACGAGACATTTTTTGACTTATTTATTCTCATATTCCACTTATCTGATTAATCAAACATCTTACAAATACAGGGTCAGTGGGCCTGTTGTTTTAAAATGATATCAAAAGTGGAGAGAAATTAGAGGAGCTTTCAATAGAAATTATCACTTAGGTTGCGAATAGTTCAACAAATTGTATGAAAGTCGTCATATTGGTTCAGTTTTCACAATGCCACATTTTGTAAGATTTATGATTATATATATGTTTGTGTCCAGTATTTATACAGAAGAGAATGATTATATGTATGTATAGACTTTTAAGAGCCTGGGACATGTGTGTCTGGCTGTCATGAGTTGTACAATCATACTATTTGTACTACAGAATAAATGTAAAACATGTCATTATTGTGGCTTAATTTTTCATCTCCTGTAGAAAGTTTGCTTCTTTGTATTGCCTATCTTGATAGCTAGTCAGCAAACATTTCAGGTCTATTAACTGTAGACATTCCATTTTACATGCATGTACATTTTTTGTACAGGTGTTGTGAAATGGTATAAAGAGCACCTGTCCATTTGTCTGCACAAATATGCACATACTAAATTAGCATACAGAAATCTTAATAATGTTGAAGTCACCAAAGTTAATATTAAAGGTCATCAATAATCACCAATATAATGTGTTGAAGGTCATCAAATAATCACCAATATAATGTGTTGAAGGTCATCAATAATCACTCAAGATAATGTTGAAGGTCATCAATAATCACTGAAGATAATATTAATGTTGAATGTAATCACTAATCACGAAAGATAATGTTGAAGGTCATCACTAATCACGAAAGATAATGTTGAAGGTCATCACTAATCACGAAAGATAATGTTGAAGGTCATCACTAATCACGAAAGATAATGTTGAAGGTCATCACTAATCACGAAAGATAATGTTGAAGGTCATCACTAATCACGAAAGATAATGTTGAAGGTCATCACTAATCACGAAAGATAATGTTGAAGGTCATCACTAATCACCAAAGATAATTTTGAAGGTCATCACTAATCACGAAAGATAATGTTGAAGGTCATCACTAATCACAAAAGAAAATGTTGAAGGTCATCAATAATCACCAAAGATAATGTTGAAGGTCATTTGTAATCACCAAAGATAATGTCAAATGTCATCACTTATGACCTAAAAAATAATGTTGAAGGTCATCAATAGTGACGACGGATAATGTTGAAGGTCATCATTAATCACCAAAGATAATGTTGAAGGTCATTTGTAATCACTGAAGATAATGTAGGTCATCACTAATCACAAAAGAAAATGTTGAAGGTCATCAATAATCACCAAAGATAATGTTGAAGGTCATTTGTAATCACCAAAGATAATGTCAAATGTCATCACTTATGACCTAAAAAATAATGTTGAAGGTCATCAATAGTCACGCCGGATAATGTTGAAGGTCATCATTAATCACCAAAGATAATGTTAAGGTCATCACTTATCACCTAAACAAGAGGCCCAGGGGCCTTAATAGCTCACCTGGTATTTTATTTTTCAATTTAAAACCTGCTGAGTACCATTCAGGTTTATCAAAGGAGTACAAGAAACAAAGTTGCAAGAAGAACTACATTTAAATCCATTTCGGTGGGAAAGACACCAAGAAAATGAGTTTCCAGGTGATGTCCCAATGTTCCTCTATTTCCCCTATTGGGCCTCACATGCACCTTTTTATACAAATTAAATTTCCTCTATTGATGCTCCAGACCAAATTTGGTCAAAATCCTCTGAGCCGTTCAGGACAAGTAGCGTTTTAAAGGAAAAAGTTGACGGACACCGCGGCATGGGATAAGCTCACTTGGCCCTTTGGGCCGGGTGAGCTAAAAATAATGTTGAAGGTCATCATTAATCACCAAAGAAAATATAGGTCATCTTTTATCACTATAGATAATGTTGAAGGTCATCATTAATCACCAAAGAGAATATAGGTAATCTTTTATCACTATAGATAATGTTGAATGTAATCACTATTCACCAAAGATAATGTTGAAGGTCATCACTTATCAACAAATATAATGTTGAAGGTCATCACTAATCACTTAAGATAATGTTGAAGGTCATCACTTATCACACAAATAAATGTTTAAGGTCATCAATTGTCACTAAAAATAATGTTGAAGGTCGTCATTAATCACCAACGATAATGTTGGTCTAATCATCCAAAATAATGTTGGAAGGTCTTCACTAATCATCAAAATAATGTTGAAGGTTGTCATTTATCACCAAATATATTGAAGATCATCACTAATCACCAAAGATAATGTTGAAGGTCAGCAGTTATCACCAAAGATGCAGGTCATCATAATCACAGATATTGACAAGAAAACAAGATCCCAGGGAGTCCTTGGTGCCCACCATCAACCATCTTCATAGATCTATGCAAGATTGACCTTTTCTTTTATCTTTTGGATCGAGTCATGTAAACAGTTAATTTTAATGTACCTTAGGATAACTGTTGATCAGAACCTGATATTGCCGAGTTCTTTCGAAGTGAAGTCATTGTTTAGGCTATTCACTACCACAATACTTAATCTGTAACAAGGAGAACCAAAATTTTAATTGGAGAAAGATCTGTCTAGTGCTTCTTGGAAAATGGTGAAAACAAACTTGAACTTTCAAAATCCAAGTTGACTGCCGAATAAACCTGTTTTATCACTAAGTACTCTTCGTACAATGGTATAAGTTGATCACATTGTAACAACCTCGTTCAATGATTTGGCAACAAATATGTATTTTCTACGCATAACACATTCTTTTAGTCCCTCATTAAAATAAATTTACAACAATTTTTTTTTTTTAAGCAGAATCTATTCAATTAACAAATACAAATAAAATATATCAATTTATTTAATCCATTTATTTATCACATGCAGTTAAAGAGTTGGAAATTTTTAACCCATAAATTATATCATAAATTACATTAAAACCATTTTTAACAGGAAGAAAGTATGATTGCACATAATTAAGCTTCAAAGTTTGAACAAATATAATTTCATATCAAAATTAAATGTCTTACCGGGTAATTGTTTAAAATCTTATCCACATGATGTTTCACACTCGTTCTCCATGAAGACAAAACGGCATTATTGATCCCACATCTTGTTAATTTTGTGATCTTTTTGAATATATACATTTCATTAAAATTATCTTTGATGTACACTGTTGTTTCTAAACTTAATCACACACAACCGTACCACAAATAAAATAGTACATATTGTATTCTGTAATTCTCTAGATCCATTTTGATTTATTACAGATTGCCAGAATAGTTTTGGCCTGGCTTCTTGTAGGTAAAACTACATGTATAGATGACAAAACCTATTATATATTATAGAAGGTTTCATGTACACAAATGACTTTTGGCAATATTAAATGTAAGAGATCAACTCAAACCCTGAAAAACTGGTAAAATGGGAATATATATTATCATTAAATGAAATAAATTGTAATTAAATAGGATTTAACATTTAATAAAAATAACAGTTACACCAGTGTACAGGTAGAATTACATTAAAACTGTTCCTAAAATTTCTTGCAACAATACTTTTCATTACACTTTTTAAAATTAGATTATTACAAAAACAGTGAGAAGGTAAAAATTGATTAGTATCAAAGAGTATCTGATTATTTACATTGCGTTGACTCCAAATATTAGTATTATTGAAACCCATAAATTCATAATACTATTCTATAGCACATTCATTTCTTGGAAACTTCCAGGTTTTGTTCTTGCAACAAGTTTGTGGCAGTCAAATTCTGCTCAGCCCTGTTCTAGATCCTAATAAACCGTATATACACAAATGTTTGTGGTCATTAAAAAAGTGAAAGCAAATCCTCCACGAAACATAGGCACTATAGAGTGAAATGAACATAACTAAAACTGATTATTATACATATGAATCACATTACAAACCCATACCACAAATTGATGTAAAATGCCCTGTTGAAGTTAGTTTTTCATCTAAACTATAATATCTGTTGAAAATTCCACGAAACAGTGATATTTACCGGTAACAATCTTCTGATGACGGCCCGCCTAGTGGGCCCAAACATGTAAACTAGATTTACAAAGAATCCACATTTGATGTTGCCTTGTCATCATTTTTATTAACTTAACAATCAAGTTCATGGAAACATGGAAATCCACCAATCAAGGAGACCCTAAGTTCAAGGAAACATGAAATTCCACCAATCAGTGAGATCCTATCTTAGAGTTCTTGGAAACACTAAGTTCCAGCAATCAGTGAGATCCTATCTAAAGTTCTTGGAAACATTAAGTTCCAGCAATCAGTGAGATCCTATCTTAAGTTCTTGGAAATATTAAGTTCCACCTATCAACTCCTAACAACCAATGTGTTAAAAGTGTACGGTACCATTTTCCCATGAATCAGTTTTAATAGAAGGAATTCAAAGAGGACAAGAATGCTTTCCAAGAAAATTAATACAAGACACAAAACATTAAACAAAATACATAACTAAATTATACCCCTTCTTTACAATTGCCAACTAATTAATTGAATAAAAATAAACAATAACAAAGCATACACTTTTTGATTTTGAAGTCACAGTATACATTAAGTCTGTATATTACCTGATAATTAACTTAGAACACATACATACAATTATCCTTAAAAAAAACAGAGAGAAAAAAATATCTAAAGACATAAACAAAACTCATTAACAGACTTCATAGAACTTGACATCACCAAATTAATCTGCCCAGTTTTGAAAAAGATTTCTCTCACAAACATTCATAATTAAGATATGTTACGACTTGGAAATGATACAACACATATTGTCACCAGAAGTTCATAGTTTGACAGTAATATTTTCACAATCAGGTCCTAAATTTTAAAATCCTAATGAAGCAAACAGCACAGCTGTCTTTACAGTCGACTAGCTGGCTCAGCATCCTCCTCTAGTCAGCTTGACTTCCCCATTTTTCTCTGGAGATCCTCAGCTACTTTGTCGATGAATTCAAACGTGTTCAGATAGTCCTTGCGAGAAACTCTGAAAAGGCGAGGTAGTGTAGACATATTTTAATGTATTAACAAGATTCTACAATACAAAGATTGTATATGATTACAGGGTTAAAACATGTAATGATGAAGAGTTTAAAAGACCCTACTAGATTCCACAAATTTTTAACTTCTGTCTTATTCCATTACAGTAACATCATAAAAGGCAACATATAATACATATGTATAACAAGTCATGATATCACGAAGGTCTGACCCACATTGGCTATGATGATAAAACCTTGTCAACAAGAGTACCACAAAGGCAGAACAATATATATTCCCTTCACGTGTCATGTGCTATCAATTTAAACCAATTGTTTATGGTTCTATGATTGAAGGGGTGAGATGAAGGATAAAGACGATGGACAAATGAATAGAAAAAATTATAGGCATATGGAAAAAATGAAAAATTTAAAAAGAGGTTACGTTGTCAAGGGAGACATTAGGAAGAAGAAAGTTGTTTAGAAAGAAGAGAAAAGATAAGATCCCAAATATTTTGTCGCCTCTTACGATCATGCAATGGGGGCAGCAGGTACAATTCTTACGCCCTACCTGCAGGGACCATATTGTTAGGAACAGGACCTGATATCAGATAAACAGTATATAACACTCAACCATCCCAAGATACTAAGTATAGCAAGTTTGGTGAATGCAGATGAATTGGCAAGGAATTAATGCCCCGGGCAAACTTCTGTACCTACAAGAGATCCCAGAGGGATCTTGGCGCCCACCATTGTACCACCTTCATTAGTTCTATGTCAGTTTGATCTCTTTTCTTCTTTTCTCTTATCCGTTTCATCAAGTCTTGTCAACAGTAAATGCACCATGAGGTAACTTTTGATCTAAACTTAATACTGCTATGTATAAAAGACAACCTTCAAAGTGAGTTTGTCATTTTATATATTTACTAGTACAGTTCTTAATGTAAAAGAAATAGATCCGATCATTACAATATGAGAAAGATTTCTTTAGTACCTCCTGTGGCCATCTTGTTTTTGTGATCACACTCTAAAGTAAACATGCACAACTACGGTCAATGGGGAACCTACATATAAAATTTGAGAAAGATCCCTCCAGTCCCTTCTGAGAAAAAGCGATAACAAGAATTGTTTATTGACGACTTACGACAGACGGACAACGGACCACAGACGAAGGGTAATTTGAATAGCCCACCATTAGACAATCATGGCTCACACAATAGTTTAAATTGTTTCTTTCATCAAATTAGCTTTGTTATATCACAGCCATCGTGTACTCACCCATTCATTCCTTTGATACAAATGGCCAAATCCTTTGTCATGATGCCAGATTCTATTGTGTCTACACAGGCACGTTCAAGGCTCTCGGCAAACTGTTTCAGGCTACTATTCTTGTCTAATTTGGCTCGGTGTACTAAACCTCTTGTCCATGCAAAGATGGATGCTGGAAAAAAATATCATTATTATAGAATGAAAGAAATTTGTTTAAATATTTATCCTGAGATGTCAAAAGCAGAATTAGACCATTGAACAGGATGTGAACAAGATATCAATGGAGGACCATATGAAGTTTATAGATGCAATTTGTTTAAAGCTCTATTTTAAATATAAATTTTCTTTTAAAACAATTATAACACAAGTTGTAACAATTGTCTAAATCACTCTTGTTGACCTTGATGATAGCTTACAGGGGGTCTTTAATATATCAAAATATATTTTTGGAGATCTGACCCAAATTGCTCTTGAATTAGCAGTCAAACATACTGTACTCGCAAATAATGCTTAAATACTCTTGAACAATCAAAATATCTTTGCCAACTGAAGCCTGTTTTAATTTTTATAATTTTTCTTACCTATGGAGTTGGTAGAGGTCTCCTTGCCCTGCTGGTGCATTCTGTAATGTCTTGTTACAGTTCCGTGGGCAGCTTCAGACTCGATTGTCTTACCGTCTGGACAAATCAGGACACTGGTCATCATTCCAAGTGATCCAAAACCTGGGATAGGGAAAAAGTTTAGTTTTACATCTGTGTAACAGTGGTCGCTAAAATTCATTACTAGATGTGTGGTATAAATGTCATCCAAAACCTGGAATAGGGATGTAGTTTATTATCATTTCTGTGTAACTGTGGTAGCCGATACTTAGGTTAGAAATCTTCAAAACTCAAGTTAAATGTTCATTTTGAATCCCCAATAAACAAACATATACCTTTTGTTGTGTATTTAACATATCCATTGAATCAGAAGTGAATGGTTGTATTGTGTATATGCATACAAATTATCCAATGTTTCGGTAACACTAATAAAAGCTTGTAGATAGAAACCAGTCAAAACCTATCTAGTCCAGTAATCAAAAGATTAATATGATTATAAATATCATTCCTCCCTTATAAATCCATCTTTATGCACTATAAATTTACCTTTTACCCCGTGAAATAGATGTCCTTCACTGTAAAATTCAGAAGTACCTGATGATTCTGAAAAAAACTTTTCGAATTTTTTCCCCAACCCTATGATATAAAAGCTTGTACCCAGTATTTAGATTGTATGAAATACAGACCTTAAACAATATCCGCTCTTCTTTCTCATGTGCTACAGATGTCAAATAGACAGAGATTTAGATATGAGTAACTCACCTTGAGCAACCGAGTCCGACTGGACATCACCATCGTAGTTCTTGCATGCCCACACAAAGCCTCCTTCTGACTTCATCGCATAGGCCACCATGTCGTCAATGAGGCGATGTTCATACCAGATGGACTTGGCCTCAAACTTGGCCTTGTACTCACTGGGGAAAGTAGGTTCAAGTAAACAATCAGCTAAGTTATCACTGGCTACAATAATATGTCCGAGTACAGCAAAATGTTTGAGTGAAATATTAATCATTATTTTTTGTTTGGTATATATTTCATGATTTTTCTAAATAAGTGATGGGAAATGAAATTAAGTTCTTAAAAAATCAGCTTTAACAGTATGCATCTCCTATATAGGTACACATTATGGAGTTTTATTCAAATACCATCCCAATGGTAAGAATGGTCTGATCTATATCTCATTCACAGGAACAGATTGTATTTCTTACTTTGATTTATGATCAAAAAAAGCAAAAAATATTCTGTAAATGCACAATGAAAATCTGTGCCAGTTGGAATGCAACATTTTTTTTTCTTTTAGCCTATTGTGACATGTCATCACAAATGATGTATAGTTGTTCTGTAATGTCACAACAGTGATCCAGACCTAAGGGGTCAGATTGAATTTTCCAGCACCAGTGGACAAGGGGATGTCCTGGTGTGGTTGGCTGGAGTGTCTGATATGACCTTTGACATTATCTATACCTGTCATAGATTTCCTGGAAGATGTCCTTGAATCGACCATCATATTTCTTTAAGATTGTGTTCTTCGTGCTGAAACATAATGAACTCACATTATCTCCCATGATTACATTAGGTGAAGTACAACAAGTTTTCCAAAAGATTTCTTCTTTATCAACTTAAGTCCTTTACAATTGATCCTCTACCTCGTTTATATTTAGTGATTAATCAGTTAAATATTGAATATAAGCACTTCTTTTTTTCATAACAAAATTTACAAAGTGACTTGTGAATTGAAAGCATTGTATTGTTTCTTTTTTATTTCATAGTCATAAGAAGTCTTGAATTTGTTAGGAACTGTGTTTAAAAACAGTTATAGAAAACAGTAAACAATGTTTTGTCCCTCGGACAAATTAAAAAATCAAACAACCAGAAAACAAATTCCTTGAAAAACTAGAAACTTGTAAAAACATATATATATCTCCCCTTATTAGCCAATAGACAAACTTTGGTATAAAAAAATTACAAAGGGCCATAACTCTTCATATAGTAGGGCACAAAGACTCAAATATAGAATGCAACACCCCTACTTCCCAAGATAAATAACTTTAACAAATTTGGTCAATGTAGGTGAAATAACATGGAAGTTATGCCGTGGACAAACTTCGGTATTAAAAATAAACAAAGGGCCATAACTCTATATATAGTGCGGCACAAGAACCAAATTCAGTGCGAGGGATTCCGCCCTCCCAAGATACATAAATGTGGTAAGTTTGGTCAGCATAGGTGAAATAACACGGAACTTATGCTCATGACAAACTTCAGTTTTAAAAATAAACAATGGACAATAACTCTGTATAATGTGGGGCACGAGACCTAATTTTAATGCATTGCACACTTTCTGTGGGTAATGCAGGTATTCCTCAAGTTTGATCAAGATATCTTTAATGGTTTAAAATGTACGGGCCGGACAAAAATTTACTGAAAATGTTGCACTTATTTAACCTTTGACCTTGAGGTGAAGGTCACAGTGACCTAATTCCAGTGCACTGCACACCTTCTGTGCGTGATGCATGCATACTCCAAGTTTCATCAAGATATCTTTAACGGTTTAAAAGTTATGGCCCGGACAAGTTGCCATCTATAAGAACAAGAACCAGAAGAAGAACAAGAACCATTACTAATACAATATGTCTCTCTTCATTCGAAGGGGAGACATAATTATTTCACAAATTGTGTCAAATACAATGTAATAATATAATGTAGTGACAAGTTATGCTCTACCATGCACTGCCACAATAATGAAATGCTACTGACCTCAAGTAAAGAGGCCATCCTTTCTCCAGGGCAAACACAAAGGAGCTGTGTGCAAACTCAGTGATACTCTGCAACCACAGAAAATTTTTTTATTAATAAGTTTTGAAAGTTTCAAGTACAGACAGCAAAATTAGGCTGTTAAACATCTGAAAAATGTTTATCTACACGAAAACAATTTTTATGATATGTATTACTTTTTCTTTGATTCCTATCTAAATAATCCATTTTTGAACACATCTGTCTGTTAAGAATATAAATAAAATAACTGAAAAAGATGAAGCACTAATATAGTTGTATGATCTACGATTACATTGTATTTCCTTCTTTCAAGCTTTGACTTCATAAACCATTTTATAAGCTGAATATTCACATTTTATCTATGGCTAGTTGATTAAGCTTACCTTATCTGTATTGTACATTCCTAAGGAGACACCACCGCCATCTTGGAATTCAAAAACTGTGTAGTTCATGACCTCACCCCCATCGCTTGGTGTGAACTTCATCTCAAGCTTCCCTGGACCTGGTACCAGGAAGTCTGTGGCTTTGTACTGGTATCAAGGAACATTTATATATGGTAACTTGTATCATTATCAAACATTTAAATTTTATATAAAGCAACAAACATTTATTTAGGACCTAATGTGACCAGGAAAATATTACTACACATAATACAAGTACAAAATATGAATTTGTCAAGAAATGAAATTTTTAGGGAAGGGTACAATATCTTCCCTTTAAAACTAGTATAATTTCATGAACAAAAGAGTTCCAAATTGACCTATTACCTGATCTCCATAGGCATGTCTGCCTATGACAATACTTTTAGTCCAGCCTGGTACTAGACGGGGAATGTTGTTACAGATAATCGCCTCCCGGAATACTGTTCCACCAAGAATGTTACGGATTGTCCCATTCGGAGATTTCCACATTTTCTTGAGTTTAAATTCTGAAAATGCAACACAAACAGTAACCAAATTATATTGAAATAGCCTGAAAATAGTAAGTTGTTCATATTCTGAATGTTAATTTACAAGACAAACTCTGTCCAATAGCAGTTGTAATAAGAACCCAATCTTTCATGTAAAACAGTCATTCCAACTTTTTTTTATCAAGTCTGAATTCATGAACTTTAAGGGGGGGGGGGGACTCTGTATACTAACAGTATCAATGGCAGCAATCATCCAAATTTCAAAGAATGTTCTGCTTACAAGGGAAATTGTGTCTCCAACTGCCTGGAGTGCTTTTGTCAGGTTTGTTTAGCAAAATGCATCATGGTACATTTATAATGCGATGATCATTGTACTTGCTGGATACAGAGATGAGGCAGAGCAGGTGTGTATGGAGGGAAAGGGTGGGCGCCATTGGCATGTTAGGTGAGGATACAATGTAATAATATAATCACATTTATCACATATACCCACGTCATATTTTTTGCATATTAACCCATGTGGTATGACCTATCAGCCCTGTGATTTGTTGTAAGTTTCCATTGTGACGTCACACCTAAGACAAGTACATGACGTCACAGACTCACGCACTGGAGTCAAAATAACGGCTTTTTACATTTCAAGGTTGCATGAAAATTGTCATTTTACACGTATAAATGCCACAAATCTCGATTATGTGATCAAAAGGATCTTACACTCGTTTTCATTTCATATGAAATTTATGAAACTCGTCACAAATTTATTCATTTTAGTTCGCCAGAGGCTCAGTAAATTGAAAAATTCTTTTTAATCGTTTCATAAATCTCAAATGAAATGGAAACTCATGTCAGATCCTATATATACATAGAACATTACCTTCAACTCTTTTCTCATCTGGAGTAATGGTAGCACACTTGATGCCCACATTGTACTTCTTAATGGCAAAGGCGGCGTCTATGGTCACTGAAACAAACCAATTGTATTGCATCATCATCTGTCTTACATACTCATAGGAGTACAATTCCACTAGCCCAACATCTGGGGCTAGTATATTTTATGTCAGGACTTGTAAACAGTTTTAATATTTTCTTCGAATATATAAATCAGGTTATCTTTTTTTCAAAATCTACCTGTGGGGTAGCACTTTAAATCTCATAATTGTATACTTTTATTAAATCATAAAGAAACTAACCCAAACAGCTGATTAAGAACATTCTACTTCTGGATATACTGTACACATACTAACATGTAACTGGGCACAATTTTAATTCCAGTGTATATGAAATATACATTTGTGTAAAGTAACACTAACAATTACATTAGTCTTTGTGTACATCGCTGTTCTCATTGCCGAGGTTAAATGTGTGCAATGATAATTACCTTGGTTCTCAACGTCAAGGTCATGTGTAAAATAATAATTACCTTGGTCGTCAGTAGCGTCCCTGTTTTCAACGCCAAGGTCGTATGTGTGAAGCTCTAAATCCACAAATGGCAAAATCAGTTTTTGTTTGATGAGATCCCAAATCACCCTACAAATGGAAAAGATACATCAGAAATGAATGCAATGTTCAACTACAGCAGTAATACTTAGGTAGAGTGTTCTTACTGCCGATATACTTGGGGTAAAAAATAATATTTACATTTCTACTGAACTTGGACTCAATAATATACCTACTTAACATTTTAAAAGTTATTTTTCAATGAACTTTTCAGTTGGCGTATGAACATATCAGCATATTATCAACCTGATTACTCTGTTATTCCGCGGAGCGCGGGAAGTAGTTCCATTCATAGATTGTTTTCAAATTGTTTTTTTTTGTCATAAGTATTCAATTGAATTCAAAAAATAATTTACATCTTAATTTGCTTATTCATCTTACCAGGACGACGTCTCACAGTGAGTGATGACGTCATAAGTTTTAATACCTTCCGTGGTGTTAGACTTGCACAAGACCGATATTTTAGAAATTATCCGAACAAATATCAATATCGCTCTGAATGTAAATATAAGAATAGAATCCAATTTGTTGAGGTTTATAGGGTATAAACCTCAATGGGTCTTGACACAAATTCAAAATGAACTGTTTTGCAGTTCATAAAATTTGTCTCAAGACCCATTGAGGTTTATACCCCATAAACCTCAACAAAACAGAATTCAATCCTTAATTGGCCCTATTCCCAATGATATTTTTCTTCCCATTACAATTACGGAAATTCCAAAAATCAATGATGCGATTATTTTGTATTATAAATTACTTTTAGCAGAATATAGTTACCAGGTATATTTACAGACATGTGACACGATAGATCACAAAACCCCCCACCTAATCACTGTAAATAACCCCCCTTTTTCACGCCTCTGCAATAGGACCCCCGAGGGCATAAACATCAACATTGATGGAGCCCCCGTAAAATAAAGAAGAAGAAGATCTATGATCTCCCTTCCCACAAAAACTTAGCTGAGCTACTGCTCCCTAATTTTCAGCATCCAGTCACTCTCCCGCAGTACCTAATATAAACAACAAATTGTTGTATTTCTGAAGGGATGGAGTGGGGAGTGGGAGCTAGACAATAAAGTTCTAGCCAGAAAATTGACGATCTTCAAGGCTTGCCTTAAAAGTATTTAAGGGTGATCCTGCTCTCTATATCTCGCCCATCACATTAATACCATTAAGTGGATTTCAGTGATGTACCTGTAACCTATTTGGAATCAGAATACATCTAATGTATCTAATACTAATGGCTGTTTTTATAACGAGTATGTTGTAATAGCTGCAGAGTACAGGGATTTGGTTGTGTTAGTGTAATCTTTAATGTGACATACAGTATTCAAAATGCCTAGAGATGGAAAAGTGAATATTAGAACTATTCTTCTTTTATTATAAAAACATCAGTTTTTCATGTACTTCAATAATAAATGGTTAAATTTCTTTTCTGTCCATGACTTGAATATTAAAATACAGTAAATATATTATAATGTCAATTTTACATCCGCTTCAATACCGAGCAGTTATGTTTACCATTAAATGACAAAAAGAATGATGTTCCAGTTTTGTCCCACTCACTGGTTTGTGGTTCTTAACGCCCTAACGGGTCGTTTTCGTTTATCGAGGTCCAAACGGTTGATGACCAGAGTTGTTCGTTTATGAAATAAGGTCGGACCTAGTAAAATCTGATGCTGCTTTCAGGCGAGCCTTGACAAAGCCTTAGAAGGCCTGCATAAACATTTGCAGGTTCGCCAGGATGTGATCCGAAATGAACAGCCCCGAGACTATGACGTTAAGAACCATCACTCGATCAAAGCAGCCAAGTCAATAACTAGAACTAACTTTATATATATAGCATATATAGGCCATGGTCCCTCGATATATCTGCTGAAGTTAAAACCAAATTGGCAATGAATACCGAGCCGACCAAACACATAACACAAAGGGATACATATATAGCAGACGTATACGTGAATCAGCTGATCAGTCCAGAGCCGGTGACGGACGACTGACCCTGTGGACGACTCGACAACGGTCCTAGGGACATTGTTCAAGAAAAGTTAGGATTGTACATTTGCAAGGCCGATATGCATGTTGTTATAGAAATTACCATAAGTAGAAAGAAAAGTTACGCTACTAGTGTTTGGTGAGCTTGATTGTCACTGTCAGCTGTCTTTTTGGGTGTACAGTGACACGGGACAGCTTGACATATTTCTTACCGCGTCATCTCATCTCCTTGCATTTCCACAACAGGCCCTCCTGTTTTAATAAACAGAAAATATACATTAATGTTCAATTCAACAGTTTGAAAAGTAATAATTAAAGCAGATTCACGAGTAAGTTTATCATACAAACCTTTAATTTTACCCATTTTCGATGCCGGTCGTGCAGAGACAAAATATTCCGTAAAGACAGATCAACGTGAGCAAACAGGACTTGACCTTTACCCTTGGTCTGTGATTGGCTCATCAGTGTGAGGTTGCTGAAGGGGGAGAAGCAGTGGTATTTAAATACTACCACTGTCGAAGAAATTACAGCAATATTTTGGTTTGATATGTTTACCCGTCCGCAGTGAACGGGACTTGCTTGTTAATGCATTATAATAATAATTAATATTAATATTAGTATAAATCACGGACTTAGGTAACTCTTATCTAATTCCGTGGTATAAATATATTCAAGTAAAATCAGACATTAACGTTACACGTATATCACATTTTGCAAATTGGACATAAATATATATAGTATCACAGCTATTATTTATAAGTCATCCAACTAGTAATCAGTCAGTGTTTAACTGGATTGGATTCGATGTCGTTCCGACCTCTCCCGATCCGGCCCCCTAGTAGTTCCAGCCCCTACCCGGTCCGTCCTTAGTAATAGATCTGTTATTTATAGGCTACTTGACTGCATCTTCGCACTTGGCTAGCGAAGATGACTTGACTGCTGATAATATCATTTTCTTCTTCTTATGCTTCCTGGACGTAATCATAGTGTTGACGCGGCGTTTGCTAAAAGCCATACAGTTCACACCTCAACGCACGAGGTAACAAGATATTTACACAGGTTTAAATGAAAAGAAAAGAAAAGAAGTGTACAATGTGATATATGTTTTATTTTTTTATTTAATTTCTTTGAATTGTTAAAAAAAAATATGCTTAAGATAAATAAAATCAATAGGAATTACATTTTAAACATGAATCATATATATAATATTATTATGGGGCCGGAACGACTAAGAATACGGGGCCGGACCGGGTAGGGGCTGGAACCACTAAGGTAGGAACGACTATGGACTCGGGGGCCGGAACGACCTGTATTCGATTAATTTAGGCCTTTACTGGGATGACCCATAAAGCCACGTTGTGGCTAAATTCCGAAATAAATCAATTCAATTCACAAAATAGTTACCTAATTATATAATAGATATTGATACTTTGAAAAGATTCTAGAAGACACAATATTTTATAAAAATAGATATAAAATGTTACAAAAAAACTATATTGCCTCGTATCAGAATCTGATACCATGGCATTCCGGAGAGCAGGTGATCGGGTATCCCCTACCTAACAAGATCTCCTTCATGTCAAATGTCCACAAAAGACTTGTCGACGGACTGTTTATTAGTTTTGAATTAAAAATAAACGGCCATCAGATCATATTCTAGTTTCCTTCTGTCGGTAGATTGAAATGTCGAATGTGCCCCACCTTGATTGGGACAAGTCCGGACAGACAGTCTGGGGTAAGTTCGACCCACAATGGCACCAGCATAATTATGACGTCATTAAGCATGCAGATTTCCCGATCAATTTCACGAATTTGACTTAGATCATTGGCCGACCTGCCCAAAATTTACATTTCAATATATTTTACATCAATACGAAAGTCAATGATATAGGCTTTTGCTATTCATACCATCATATGAAGCTGTCAGTATATGTACTAAATCAGTAGCAATAAAGACAGTTCGCAAAACTAGAAAGGAGTTCTTTCTACCCTTCCAAAAGTAATTAATTTCTCAGTTTGGCGCGTGTGTTTTGGAGGAAACTGAGTTCATGATCATTAGGTACGTCTTTCTTTTATCGGTAGCCGATCTAAACCCCTAAACCAAGTAGAATTACTCTGAACACCTTCGTTTAGGTCCAACTATAGCTGTAACAAATTCTCAGGTCCCTGTGGTAAAAATGACATTACCAAATTATTACAGGTCCCTGTGCTTCAGAGAACACGTGATAGACGGGCAGTCGCAGGTACCTTTCACAGTATCATGCAATAATTTTCAGTCAATATCAAGTTTTGCTATTGATTTAAAGTGTGGGAAGGAAATGGGTGTGACATTAAATCTTGGAAAGACCGAAATTCATTTTTTCCCGCTGATAAAATTCAAGCGTGTTCACTCCCTACAAAACAGTGCACAAACCCTGATCTGACCGATATTTCGAAAGTGACATAAACGCTTCAATTGGGGGGCATATTCGGGCTTTGAATCGAAGCTTTTTATCGACGCGGACAAAAAACAGCGCTACCTATCTGCAGAATGATGAACAAAACACGATGTTATGACGAGAGATGAACGAGAAAGATGTCGTGTCTTCCCTACAGGTAGGTATTTGTCATATCGGTCCGATGAATTTAGTATTCTGATAATCAGGTTTTTTCTTTTTATAAAAGACAGCTTCGCATAGTGATCTATGGATTATGTTTGCGTGTTGTAACAGCTGTTGCCCGCTTCAACGCTTCCCTTATGGAGCCCCTCTTAGGAATGACAGTAGGGATTACGTTGTTGTTATTTTTGTTTGCTATAAGGAAGTTACTTACGTGAACATTATGAAATTACTGAAGAAGAAATGCTAGCACGCAGTAACATATATTCGCATGAGGTAGATAGTTTATTTCTTTTAAATTCTTATGATCCTTCATTTACGACCAGTTTCAATATATTCTCCATCATCCATGCAATGCAGATATTTAATTTAATTGACACGTTTAATTTACTTTGGTCCGTGCATTATATATTATGTATACCAGACTAATAAACCAGGTTTATTGTTTACAAAATTAAATTTTCCCATTGAATGTTTTTTACTTTTTCTGTAAGGTAATGTAAGATTTCATAAATCTCAGTGACCACTTAAATAGTTTAGACCGTTGCACTATATATTATCAGCAAGGGATGTACACTCACTTGCAATCCTTTCATGAAGTTTGCCTTATATAATTAACAATTGATATAACCTTTCATAAAATAGACAGGACTTTGAATAGATTTATTCCCAAAATAAGAAGTTATGTCTTTATGTTGACACGGAATCTGCTTTTCCATTAACACACTGACTGTTTTCTTTCTCAGAACTTAGTGGCCATGGAAATACGATATCCAAATCAATTCATGCATGTATTTAGACATCACCAGAGAATTCATCAGGACGCAGGACAGGTGCGAGATGCTGATGTAGAGGCAGGACAACCAAGATATTCTAACATCAATGCGGATGGAGACGTCCTCAGGTAAAATTATAGACCTTCATCTCCTACTGTCACTCACATACTGTTAAATTTTCTTTAGGTTAGAATGTTTATGTGTGATGTTTTGATGACTAGTAAGATATGTTTATGTACACTGTCACCTTCATAGGACCATTTGAAAAAAGTAAAAGAAATCTGATGAGGGCTTATTTGTTTCTTGTTTCAATATAATCACAATGTGCAATGCACACCTTTATCTTTTACAAGTGTTTGTAATTGTAATGATTATGTTTGAAATATTTCTATAATGCCAAGTAATTTTTCTATTTCATTTTGATTATGTATTTATTTCTACCTTTTAGAATCTTTTGGCATAAGTATAATTAAATGCAGATTCTCTTATTAAATAATTAAATACATGAATATGGTTTCCAAATTAAAATTTTCATACTATGATCATCAGTTTTACAAATGCATCTCGGTTTTACTTGTATGTTGTGGGGATTGTGAAATAAAAACAACTTAACCTTCCTTCACTTTAATCAACCTATATAATCATTAAGCTACATTTATTGGAAAACAGGTTAACATCCCTAGGGCATTTATAGCTCAAGCTTAAAGTTAATATTTTTTTAACAAACAATTAATATTCAGTAGTTTCGAGAACCATTACTGTGTCAATCTTCATACTAGTAACATGCCATGGTACTACTGTCGTAGAATTAATTATTATTCCCAGCATGTTCACTATTTCATGCTCTGTTCTATTCTTACCATCATCAGTACTTTTTGAATTGCAGCTACGCTCCTAACAATAGATTCAGTGTTGGTCTGTATGTAGCTGGGGAACCTCTCACACCTGAGGATTACTACTTTGAGGTGGAAATCCTTGATATTGGCAATCGAGGGACCATTGGTGAGCATGTCGCATTAGTAATGAAAAAGTAGTTTCTCCAGTAACTGATTCAAGTTTCATCACTGTCAGACCTGTTTTTTTGTGAAGTGATACTACAGGGAAGAAATTTGACCTGCTTTCCGTATCAGAACTGTATTTGACATCCTGCTTAAATAATTCCTTTGTAGGTTATGTGTTTAGGAAGGCTTCACATTCATCGATAAATACGAAAGATACATAAAAGAGGATTCAAGATAATCTGAAGATATCCATATAGTATTGAGACTTATGAAAGATATCCATATAATTGAAATAAATGTTGATGTTTAGGTGTGGGTCTGGTGCCTCAGAGATACCCACTAGATGCCCAGCCTGGATGGAGAGCATTCTCTGTAGGATTCCATGCTGATGATGGGAAGTATGTGGTTTTCTTTATCTTCATAGGGTTTGGAAAATGAAATACATCCCATTTATAATGGAAATCACAAATATTTTTTATCAAATTACGCTTGATGTCTAAAGGTGCATGTACATTACAACTTTGCTGTTTTAAACACCTGTATAACAACAAGGCTAACTCTCAGATACAAAATGCAAAAATGATGTAAAAAATGATATGAATAATATATATTTTTTTTTTTTTTTTTTTTTTACAATAATCATAAACATGTATGACTATACTAATGATAAACTTGTTTGGTTTGTGGCTGCAGGCTTTACAAAGCTAATGGGTTTGGAAAACCTTTTGGCTCCAAAAGTCAGACTGGGGACAGGATAGGTTGTGGAATCAAATTTTCTGCCCCAGAGGAGGGACCTGGGCAGTCTGTCAAGGTCTTCTTTACACATAATGGCAAGGAGGTGGGTCAGGTTGATGGATTGTCTCCCGTTCTTAAAGATAAATAGACTGTTTACCATGACTTCATCAAATGATGGTGAATTGATGTCCCAAAATTTCAAATATTAGCAAAGTTTCATCATAAAATGAAATTTAAAGGAAACTTGTGTTTTGGAAACAAACTGATGTAAAGTTTAATTATAAAGAGATAACATATCATTCTCCATATTTTTTTTCTAGTTTGAAATAGTTTTAAATGCTGAAAAATGCTAAGTTCAAGAGTGCTTACCATATCAGACAAGAATGCACTTTTCTATGCAGTGCTTGCAACTCAGCAGTTTGCAAAGCTTTGTGTTCTATGCAGAAAGATTACACAACATAAAGTCTCTGGCCCAGATGTTGTATAACAAGTTATTAATTTGTGACTGATTATTTGTGCAGGTTGGTATGATGATGATGCAGACCCCTGCCCGGGGGCTATATCCTGCTGTAGGGATGCATTCCACAGGGGAAGAAGTCCGACTCAACCTTGAGGCAGAGTGGCTCTATGAGGATTTGGTTCTCATGGCTGTGGACAATGGGGAGGACGACTGGTCTCGTCTTCATGACGTCAGATTAAATGGCACGGTAAGGTTAAATCTGGGGTTATACATTAAATCTGGGGTTATACATTACCATTAGGTATATAAACCTCATATGGTGATGTTTTTAATCTCTCTGGCATGTAAAGATCATGTTGTTTTCACAACTTATTGTGTGAATATTTCACAAACTGAATTTCATTTGCATTTTAAAGGCAATGTTAAAACCTCAGATATTTTTTGTATTTTATTTGTGTGATATTTCAGACTTTAGAATACATGGGACGAGGGAAGAGCATACATGATGTTGGTCTAGCTCAAGCCAGATGGCCCCTCGACACAACATATCATTATTTTGAAATTGAAATAATAGATCCTGGTGAAAACTGCTATATTGCCATAGGAGTAGCCAGAAGAGTAAGTATGCTATTTACAATCCCCCATCCACACTCGACACCTTAAATCTGTATAGAAATCAAACATGTCAGGTTTTCCATGGGCAAAGGGAAGCAGTTTAAGAAAAACATTTTCTTAATGTATGGTGGCTGTTGTAAGGATTAGAGTTAACTTCTATCTAGTTTCTTTTATTTAAAAGCTGGGGGAAAAAAGTTTTTATATACATCAGTCATTAACTTTCCATTTTAAAAGACTACTAGCCAAGAACGATTATTACAAAAGATATTAATTGAATTCAAGATGGACATCACCAGGTGAATATTAACCAAACATGGTATGAATAATGCTCTTAACGGCTCTAAACAGTGAACTTGCTGTAATTGTTTGGGTTACTGGTTCATTTTTGACTAATTCTTAATTCCACCAGATCAGATTTAACTTATTACAAATGTTTCTGTAATTTCTCTTTTTAAGTGTTGTTACATAAAAAATCTGTGATGACCTATTTTTATAAACAAGTATTTAACCATTAAATGGTTTTAAAATGACACAATTATGTCTTTAATGCTGTGTAGAAGTTATGGTAGATTCACTGAACTTTGTTTTTCCCAATCAGATTTGTTATTACTTCCTTGAATGATACGTATGATGGTTTATTTCATTCACCTGATTTTCATGAAAGAGTTTTGTAGTATCAACTTTGAAGTTGGTCACAATATTACAATGATAACTAGATTGAAGTTTGGTTTTTAAGGTGGTCACTGTTGAGTCCACGTCATGGTTTAGATAATCCTAGAAAACGCAATCTGGGAATGTATAAAATGGTCTGGACAGATACTGATTATGATTGATTCTCTGTTTGATGTGACACACTGGTGATTTTAACTGATGTTGGTAGAATTATCCCCACCATCGACACCCGGGATGGAACAAAGGATCCATAGCTTATCATGCAGATGATGGTAAAATATTCGTTGGTTCTGGAGTCGGAGATCCATTTGGACCAAGGTGTCATAAAGGTATGACTTCTGTTATTGTAAGCTAAAGAATTTTTATTAGAAACGATGTATAAAATTTAAGGAGTTAACATATGTCAACATTACTAATCAACTATTTGTAGTTTGCGGTCTGTGTGTACTGTGGGAATAATTTGAAATTAAATTATTTGAAAAATAACTTGGAAGTATTTTTATTTTGCACAGAAAAAAAATGTTTCTATGTTGAAAACTAAAATGTCCTTGGAACCCTTAAAATCGTTTTGGACCATATTTAAATTTTGATGTTGTTTCGTTAATTACCAGTGTGAGGGTAAATTTTGCATTACAGGTGACATAATGGGCTGTGGAATTCTGTTCCCCCCGGACTACGATGGCGAAACTGACAGTGACCTTTCTCCTGACGACCCTGATGTCCATAATGATATGGTTGATGATTTCAGTGACGATTCTGATGAGGATGACATTATACCCGGTGGACGAGTGTTAGACCAGAATGGTACAAAAGTATGGGTAGGTACCCATGTCAACACTTTTGATATAGTTCAGAAAAAAGTTGTGAAAATTTATAGAAAATAAATGTAAGAATAATAGAATCTATCACTCCTGTGGGATGTAGACAGAGATATCTCAACCAGAGGTTAAGATATTTTTTTAGGTTTATCATGAGGCATTGCAGAGTGCTAAACCTAAAAAATATATCATCCGGAAGGTTGAGATATGTCTGTCTACATGACACAGGAGTGATTGATTATTTTTCTCCCACATTTTCATACCGTAAAAAATACCTTCACTGCAAAGTTGTATTTTTGACCCCAATGCACCAAACTATCATCAATTAAATTCATCAACAATTCTTCCTTTTTCATCATTTTTTCCTACGGCAACACATTCGTCTATTTTGAACTGTCGGAATGCTGAGCTTGCCTATTTGTTTACATGTGTATTATACATGTGTCTAAAAAGTGATGATGTAATCGGTTTTGCTAAAAGTGCACAGAGTCAAAGGTCATGTTAAAAGAAGTGCGTTGTCTGTGACGTAATAGCGCGTGTCAGCGGTCTTGATCGAGGTTTATCTTTTCCCTACCAAAAATGGAAATGTACCTGTGAAGTGTGGGAGAAATCAAGTTTTCTTGTAACTATATAGGAGGAATGATGTATATAAGATTTTGTAAGTCACTTATGTGATTGCAGAAATAATATGACACATCACAAACGAACATCTTCCCTCAATTAGTTTTCTCTGCTGACACATTGAATCCTTCAGGAATGCTATCCCTTTATCCTACATTTATTTTCTGCCACTGATTAGACAATTTATCTTTTGTGAATTTAGAAAAAAATATTTCTTCTTTCAGATATTTTTCACAAGAAATGGGAAAATAATTGGGAAAAAACAAGTTCCTATACCTAAAGGAGGTTTCTTCCCAACTGTAGGTATGCTGAGTAGTTGTGAAAAAGTACGGATAGACCTGAGACCCCTCACTGGCTGATGATGGACCTTTTGCCTGAACTTGGGCTGTGGTACCCTGGGTAGACTTATCATTGGCCTACGAGTAGCATGTGGCACCTCAAAATATGTTTATATATTTCACAAGTGTGTCTGACATTGTTCTGTGACTCAACCCCAATAGAAGAGGATGTAATCCCTAAATAAGGGATTACCGGTAACTCATAATACTTAGGGAGCCACATAGAAAAGGAAGTAACCCCTAAATAAGGGATGACCGGTAACTCATAATACTTAGGGAGCCAAGGAAAAAAGGAAGTAACCCCTAAATAAGGGATTACCGGTAACTCATAATACTTAGGGAGCAACGGATAAGGACATTTTAAATGGGATTGAAGTATCATGCTTCTTATTAAGTCACAGAAGAAGATCTTACCAGGGATTTTAAGTATTGTTGATGCTACTGAAAAAGTCACTGAGGACAATAATCAAATGTGCTTTAAACATTGAACAATACATATGTTTTTATTAATGTGATAACATTTTGTTTTGCCCCTGTATAGGGCCCTGTAAGGAATAGAATGAAAGGACAGTATAGCTGCACACTGCACTTATGTTGTGTATATACATCTTTGGGGCCAGATAGAGTGTTTGTCAATATAAATATGTTTAATAATTATTCTGCTGTTTATAGCTAGATATTAATATGAAATATAAACTGAAATCAGGAGCATCATTTAAATGTCAATGCCATAATGTCGTTTGCACAGCCAGTCAGCCATTCAGTTTCTTCATAAAAGTTATGCAGTGTGTTGAAGAAACTGTCTCTCTGGGTGGGACACAATGTATCCCATGTAGCTTTGTTACTTACCCGTTTTACTCTGTATCACTTTTACCATAGATATGGTATGCTTATCTATGTCACTTTGTTATTGTTACCTGTTTGTATGGTTTTAAGGGTTAAGATAACTGATGCTGCTTAGAAAGAAGCAGTGTTTCCATGGATTCTTTTTTATATCCATGATTAATCCTCTGGAAGGGATTTGGAAATAACCTCCATAGAAATAGTTTTTAAGTTAGAAGATCAAAGTTGTTGCCACAGAAACAGTCCAATTACAAAGTTGATATTAAGAGTAAAGAATTAATTATTGTCAGCAATATGATTCTTTATTAAAGTTGTTTGAATATGATTTTGATAAAAAATAAACCACGTTCCTCAGTAATAACCCTGACACCAGTATAATGTTTAAGGTCCCTATTAGACAGAATACACCCAGAAGGTATTACCACTGTCACTATAATAGTAACTCACTACCATGCTCTACAACGAATATCCAAGGAAACTAAAAACAGGTGTCCAAAGGGAACCAACATGCTGGTGGACGTGGGTTGTAAGTGGATTGTAGTAGAAATCTCTGATGGAATCCCAATGATATTCATAGATATCATCAGAAACCTAGCTAACCGTAACCTGTAGACTGTAATTAAACTATGGAATCAAGCGGTTGATTCCGCATCTTTTTTTATTCACAGTACATGTGTACATGTATTAAGATCTGATTTTAATATAAGTGCAAAAAGAGCTTTTCTCAAAAAGCTTTTTTTTTTAATTGATTCCGTTGTCCAATCAGATGACATTGAAGACCTGTTTGTATGTGTCTAGTGTTTGTGGGCATCAAGTGATCGCCCCTATTACAGTTGTCTATATGAAGTATTAGTCTTGATAAAGGAGCAGGTCGCTCCAAACATTTGTCAACTTGTGTGTCTGTACTGTCACTGTTTATATATATCTACACTGTGTAGAGCTATGTAGAATACATCTGCACTAAATGCTTTCACTCCTGGCAGGGATTTTCAGGTGATTTTATATATGTTATAATCAAGCTTTGTTGAGAACCTTTTAGAGTTAGCACTGCACTGAGCTTTACAGTTAGAATTACATGAAATATAATAAGTGTTTTTAATTCCGAAATACTACTCATGCTTCAACATTTCAAAGGCATTTAGTTTATTGCTCTTTATTCAAACATTGGATTTCTTCATTTATCTGTTAATAACAGAAGGCTTCATTTGTAGACTTCCAAGTTTGTATTTAACAGTAACACTTTACTTTCCAAGTTAGGTTGAATTTACAGATATCAAAGAGTAAACCTGTACTTTTCAATAAATGAGGTCAGATTTATAGTATGTGCTTATATCCCATCTCATAGTACATGTATTACAAAGCCCTAATGAAAACCTAACCTGTATCCAGTAAATACCTAGAAACCCTTTATCAAGTTTCTGACTTGAAGTTTTGTCCATTTGGAACATTGAGGTTCTTTTGAAAGTATTAGTAGACTTGATATTTTAACAAAGTTTGTTTAACTCGGCCATGTATTATGTTAAAGGTCAAAGGGGATAAAATGTTACAAGTGCATCAACTGTCACAAGGTCAAATATTCAATCATTCACATATATTCAAATATAACATTAATTCTTACAGGTTCAACTACTACTCCTTCATTTAGCTTCAACTGTACTCATGATCAGTAACAGATTCTACTGCTGTGGTTATCAGTATCTTACTGCTGTGTATTTTTGTGATTTTCTCTCGTAAACCTTAATATTCAGCTTTGAAGTGCTAAATAATTTTCTTTGTGAAAAGCTAGAGAAATGTACAGATTGTTGAATTTATGGTTTGAAGTAAGGTGTATGATATTGATTAGATTTGTTAGTTGTTGTGTTAAAAGCTTGTGTATTGGGACAGGAGACTAACACTAAACTAGTCCTAGTTAATGCTGATCCATGAGGCTTTCCATCTAACAAGCTGTACTGTTCAAAAGTGCCTGTTATTACCGTTATTAATATTGTGTATATGTTAACCAGTATATATTTGTGACTATTTTTGGTACCTGATTTTAATATTTCTCACTGAATAAAAGGAGGGAGGTCGTTTTAGCATCAGGAAAAATGTTTTATATATAATTCAGAAGGCCATGACTGAAACAGGAAGGATAATCAAGACAGTGCCATTTCCCTTTAACATGAATGCAAATGGTAAAAGGTAGTTCACATGATTAAAGTATTTTTGGTGGAAATAAGACAGTATGCATTTTGTCATGATAAAAAAGTTGGGTGTTTTCCCCTAAACTTCCCTTCAACCAAGCATATATTTATATTAGTGATTTACAGGTAAAAACCATATTTCAGAAGTTGAATGCTTTTTGTTACTATAATTACTTAATTCAGCTGGTTTTTTTTGAAGATAATGGATTTTATCAAATCTGATGTTGAATTTTCACAAAGTCTTCCTTAATGAAATAAGAAAATGAAGGAAATATTAAAGGAGAGAATTGTTATGCCTGTATTATTTAATTGTATTTCTTTATAGAGCTTAATGTTTTATTTGATATGCTATAAGATCATTTATATGAAATATGCTGACGCAGATCCAGACATTTAAGAAATACAATGACCAAAATCAAGACTTTTAAGAAACATACTGACCCAGATCCAGACTTTGGGAAATTACCACACCAAGATTCAGACTTGAGGAAAACACTCACACACATTCAAACTTCAGAAAACACTGATCCAGATCCAGACTGTAGAAAATACATTGACCCAGATCCAGACTGTAAAAAATACATTGACCCAGATCCAGACTGTAGGAAATACGTTGACCCAGATCCAGACTGTAAAAAATACATTGACCCAGATCCAGACTGTAGGAGATACGTTGACCAAGATCCGTTCTGTAGGAAATACACTGACCCAGATCCAGACTAGGAAATAGGTTGACCCAGATCCAGACTGTAGGAAATACACTGACCCATATCCAGACTAGGAAATACACTGACCCAGATCCAGACTAGGAAATACACTGACCCAGATCCAGTCTAGGAAATACACTGACCCAGATCCAGACTGTAGGAAATACGTTGACCCGGATCCAGACTGTAAAAAATACATTGACCCAGATCCAGACTGTAGGAAATACACTGACCCATATCCATACTAGGAAATACACTGACCCAGATCCAAACTAGGAAATACACTGACCCAGATCCAAACTAGGAAATACACTGACCCAGATCCAGACTAGGAAATACACAGACCAAGATCCAGACTGTAGGAAATATACTGACCAAGATCCAGACTAGGAAATATGTTGACCCAGATCCAGACTAGGAAATACACGACCCAGATCCAGACTAGGAAATACACGACCCAGATCCAGACTAGGAAATACACGACCCAGATCCAGACTAGGAAATACACAGACCAAGATCCAGACTGTAGGAAATACACTGCCCAAGATCCAGACTAGGAAATACACTGACCGAGATCCAGACTAGGAAATACACTGACCGAGATCCAGACTAGGAAATACACTGACCGAGATCCAGACTAGGAAATACACTGACCCAGATCCAAACTAGGAAATACACTGACCCAGATCCAGATTGTAGGAAATACACTGACCCAGATCCAGGCTAGGAAATAGGTTGACCCAGATCCAGACTGTAGGAAATACACTGACAAAAATCCAGACTGTAGGAAATACACTGACCAAGATTCAGACTAGGAAATACACTGACCCAGATCCAAACTAGGAAATACACTGACCCAGATCCAGATTGTAGGAAATACACTGACCCAGATCCAGGCTAGGAAATAGGTTGACCCAGATCCAGACGGTAGGAAATACACTGACCAAGATCCAGTCTGTAGGAAATATGTTGACCCAGATCCACACTAGGAAATACACTGACCAAGATCCAGACTGTAGGAAATACACTGACCAAGATCCAGACTAGGAAATATGTTGACCCAGATCCAGACTAGGAAATACACTGACCCAGATCCAGACTGTAGGAAATATGTTGACCAAGATCCAGACTGTAGGAAATACACTTTCACATTTCCAGACTGAAGGAAAGACATGACTCAACTAGTTCAGACGTAACAAATGTAAGGTCACTATTCTGCAAATTTTACCATAAACAAATTGAGATGAAATCTAATCTCTGCTTTGGGAATAGCAGCACTGTAGATAATTTGGTTAACATTGATTAAGTTCCAGTCACTGGTCAGCACATTGTTGTAAATACTTGATCAATGAAATGTAAATACTTGATCAATGAAATGTGGCTATGTTGTTGAAAGATTTGTTGTTGAGAAGTTGCTATGATGTTTGAAACTGACATTACTGTGTACATTGTAAGTGTATGAGAGTTTGTCTTATATCATTGAACTTACCCATTGTAGCGACATTGTGATATTTGCTATATGTAGTGTTGTATGGAGAGTTCAGATTATCTACCTTATCTCAAGTGGCATCAGCAGAGTACGAATGTAAATTCCTTAAGTTCTGTTCATGTTTCTTAATTTTATTGTGATGATGTATGGTCATTGAGCCATAGTTAAAGTTAATTTTACTGTGTTAATGTGTAGTTAATGAGCTACAGTTGGATGTTTAAATTTATTGTGTTGGTGTTTAGTCAGTGAGCTATAGTTTAATGTTTGCTTGTAGTACTTACTAGAGTTGTGTATTTGATGCTTGTAACTGTAAGCATTTCTAATACAGAGGAACCACTCTAATCCAGACACTGTACTCACTACTGTATTTCACCAATAATAAGCCAATGCTTAATAGTTAATTGGACCCCATCCCCTTGTAAAGCAGATTTTACAAAGAGGGTCACATTTGGGAATAAACCCTTCTTGCATAGAGTGTCTGATTTGGGAGTTGTTCCAATTTCATTCCTTAAGGGCTTGACCCTTGAACTTAATACAGGTGAAAAGCAGAAATGTCTGGTAGTTGATTTCCTTATTATTAAAAAGCCTCAACTCCTAGATAAGAAAAGAACTTTATTTTCAGACTCTAACATTGGGATAACAGAGTTTATAAAATGTTTACCAGGACATTTTTGTTGCAGTTTCACTTAAACGTTTTTTGACCTCCATAATAAAGACAAACCTATCATTACAGTGAGCATAAGTAAAAGATAAAAACCATTGTATTTAAATGTGAAAGGCGAATATTGCGGCAGATGTGAAAGATGAAATTAATACTGGGCATATAGGGGTTTTACCGATGTAGGGAAAAAGTTTCCCGGAATACCGTACCTGGTAATTGTTCTAACATAATGTATATAGAGAGGTTTCTCATTGAGTGGTGAGTAGTTATGGATTAATTTCACTCTAGTTAGTAAATGAAAAAGAAATACAACAGATACAGGGTTCACTTAATGTCTTTTGTGACTTTGAAAATTAACTAATGAGTGTCGGATAAAAAATAAATACGTTTGTCTTTTTTCAGTGTGGGATAAAAAAAAACCCACTACCTTTACCTTTTTCAGTGTACAGCAATACAATTCCATTAATATAACAAATCAAAAATGTTAAACCTTTTCTTCACTAAATGATGTTTCATTACCAAATACAACCATTTGTTTTGGTATCAACCACAGGTAGCTGAAATATCTCTGACATCATGGAAGTCCATAATATGGGAAATGGTAATGTGATAATACTTTTAAAATACTTTCTTGGGGTATATACAAAAAAATCCTTTGTTGAAACAGGATAGGATAATGTTCAGTGCTGTTTGACAAAATTAGATTAGAGTGTGGAAAGGACTGATTTCTGCGTTTGTCAGTGTAAATCGGTAACGTTGTTAGTATATGACCTACACCATTGTCATGCTATTTTCAAAGTTGAGGTTAGTACACCAGCTGATTTGTATGTGAATGAAGCAAAGGAAATAGTCACAGACCAGTAATGTACCAGGTAGTACGTTAGGGATGAGATTTTCTGGGACTGTTACAAATCGGTGTATACCTTAATGGTCCTGGGGCAGACATTCTGGGATCACTAATTGTTGATTGTGGTTGGTTTCCATTATGTATATGATCTGTGAGTCGGCTTACTTCATTGCTTGAAGTGAAAATATTCTGAAATATTGGAACATTTTTTTCCACTTGTTGAGATTTTTGTTTAGATGTTTAAAAGAATTTATTTTTATTTTAAAACTCTCCAGGTGAGACTTTTGTATATCAATTACACTTAATCCTAATATTACACTTAATCCTAACATTACACTTAGCATTATTCTCTCTCTAAATTCATTTGGACCACAGGAATATATCAAATGCTGTGTAGTGAAAGATATATAAAAGTGAGCAATATTGGAGCTCGCACACGTAGGACATCCTGCTATTGTGAGTATGAAAAGGCATCTCCATACGAAAGTGTGGTGGACCAGGATTGACAAGGATTCAACAGTGTGTATGCTTAACACATTACACCACAAATATCAAACACTACAATTGTCTTGGTGTATACACTACTATGTATATATGTGTTGATGCCCACTTTTTTTTTATATCTTTCACTATAAAGCATGTGACACGTCCCTGTGGTCTGGACCACACTTAATGTACTTTCTTTCAAAATCCATCTGGACCAAACCCCTGTTCGACCATGTTACTGCATGTGGATGCTCACTAGTTCTACATGTCACTGTGTTACACTGTATAGTCGTCAAGTTAGGGCTTCCACTACTGGCAGTTCTCCTTGCTGCTTTGTGTACTCGGTGAGCGTGACACTATATTGCAGTGGGTTTCTATCAAGCTTCCTAGCTAGTATATAATGTGGACCTCAATGGCTGCTGTTATGTATGAATGTTTGCATATTTGTTGTTAATATTATTTGTTTTATAATGACCTGTGTGATATTTTTGATTGAGAAAAAGAATGTTAAGCAGCTAGGAAAGGATTTGAAAGGGTTATTATGTATTGAAATGTTTCTATTTTTGTTGCTAATAACATAATATTAATTAACACATTACCAGTACAAATTTCCCATTGCTTTGAAAGCTAGCAATCCAATAAATTTGATATTTAATAATGAAGTTGTTTACTTTTTTGTTATGATAATTGCCTTGGTAGTTAAAAGACTCTTACAAAAAATCATAACTGTCTGTAACCACCAATAGTTACCTCCCCCTGGCTGTCACAGTAGGGAGTGGAAGTGTGCCAGGCCACATACCATCAAACTACCGGATTCTTGTCTGAAACAGGATGCACACAATGAGACAGTGGCTATGTGTAACACTTAACAAAAAAAAAAAATTGTTTTGATATTTTACCTATATATAGTAATTAGACTTTCAATAGATGTCTTGGTTCTATTTTACAGCTAACCTCCATATCTTTGTGGGCAGGTTCATTCATTAAAATGTCTACCGAAGAACTTGTGCTCTCAAATAATATTTCTGATTTGATTTTTGACCTTAACTTACGGCCTTGAAATGATAAAGTGTCACATAAACACTTCATGATTTGTCGCATACTGATGGTATATATGTAGTGTACCTGGTATGTCTCGAGTTTCATTGAAGTATTTGGAGAACCAATGTCTCCCATTCTAATAACGACTTAAAGGTAGACCTTGTTGTAGTGTTTGGTCTTATTCTGGTCCTCCTCCAATTCTTATTAAATTTCGTCTGGGCCATTATTCTTTAATCGTTAAGAATACATCTTTTTGAAATTTGATTTGTACACAGAAAGTGTGTAGTATGCAGAAAGTAGATCATTGACCTTTAACTTGAGGTCAAAGGTCAAATGAGTATTTTACTTTAATTATCATTTTCTACAGCCCATGACTTCGAAACTGTTGTGATGTATCTTGAGATAACTGAAATGTACCCATATCACAGGATGTACAGTACCATAATTGGAGGCAAATTCATAAGACATACTTAATTCAAACAAATTTTTAGTTTGTAAAATGATATGTAAATGGTTTCTCAATTTGTATCACCTGTTTCTTCCATCTTTAGAGACAATCTGATATATGTAAAATAACTTCTGATCTGATTATTTTGTCCTCTCCCAAAATCATATAAAAATAAACAAATAAATGGGTTCAGTTTCTTATCATCTTGATTTATTTCACAGCTCTATAATTCATATAACAACATTATAACAAGTTCAACATATTACAATTTACAGACAATGGGTACAAATCATTCTCCAATCTCATATAACTAATAATGCTATCACCCCTTGTTTCCAGTTGACAGAAATACTTGAATTTCTCAGCTAAAACTTGTACATGTGTACTTACAATTACTCTGGGATTTAATTTTGGGTTTGTTAAAAAAAAATGTATATAAAACAAAAAGTTTTGATTTGTGTAAGTTTATAGCCAAACTGACAAAGGAAATATGACAGGTTGGTGTTGTCAGGCATTGGGAGCCAGACATTTTGCAACTGTTTACATTCAAAAGTGAATGCATCCATCTTTTCACACCCAAACCTAGGGGCCACTTGCACCAAATGTTGGGATGAGACTCAATGCTATTAACAGTTATATGTCTGTCCACTTACGTAGCAGGAAATCTGTATACTGAGCAAAGTATGATTTTAGGATATGCTGATTATTGTTTCACTATATCTTACACATGTACCGTAAATTTGCGGGTATAGTGCACATAACAGACAATATTTCCATAAAAACAACATTTGGTCATTTCTTACCGGTGATAAAAATCTACCCCAACTTCACAACAAAGACTAAGAATAGAGCCTAGAACAATTGATTACGTTGTAGGTTTCTGTATGATGTACCTGGCTGGTAGTACATAATTGAAGATTTCATTTGATTATATCACAGATGTCTTTAGAAGTAAAATATGTACCATTTATATACAATTTCCGATGTAACACTTGACAGACAGCCCTGTATTTTCAGCCATCACAGGTTAATATAGACAGCTTTTACAGTTACAGTGAAGCAGACAGACCTGTAGTTTCAGCCATCACAGGATAATATAGACCGACATGTATGTACAGCCATTACAGTTACAGACAGGCAGACAGACCCGTAGTTTTAGCCATCACAAGAAAAATGGACAGACATGTATCTACAGCTTTAACAGTTACAGACAGACCTGTAGTTTTTACAGCCATTACAGACAGGCAGACAGACCTGTAGTTTCAGCCATCACAAGATAATTTGGACAGACACGTATCTACAGCCATTACAGTTACAACAGACAGACTTGTAGTTTCAGCCATCACATGATAATATGGACAGACATATATCTACAGCCATTACAGTTAGACAGGCAGACAGACCTGTTGTTTCAGCCATCACAAGATAATATGGACAGACACATATCTACAGCCATTACAGTTACAGACAGGCAGACAGATAGATCTGTAGTTTCAGCCATCACAAGATAATATGGACAGACGTATCTACAGCCATTACAGTTACAGACAGGCAGACAGACCTGTAGTTTCAGCCATCACATGATAATATGGACAGACATATATCTACAGCCATTACAGTTACAGACAGGCAGACAGACCTGTAGTTTCAGCCATCACAAGATAATATGGACAGACGTACCTACAGCCATTACAGTTACAGACAGGCAGAAAGACCTGTAGTTTCGGCCATCACAAGATAATATGGACAGACGTATCTACAGCCATTACAGTTACAGACAGACTTGTAGTTTCAGCCATTACAAGATAATATGGACAGAAACGTATCTACAGCCATTACAGTTACAGACAGGCAGACAGATCTGTAGTTTCAGCCATCGCATGATAATATGGACAGACATGTATCTACAGACAGGCAGACAGACCTGTAGTTTCAGCCATTACAAGACAATATGGACAGACATGTATGTACAGACAGGCAGACGGACCTGTAGTTTCAGCCATCACACGATAATATGGACAGACATGTATCTACAAATCTACTGTTAATTTCTTCATTTCTAACAACTTGTCTGACAATTCAAATTTGTGGAAGATGGAAAACATTGTATAACATGTTGGTGAAAACTTAGAAGACTGGATGTAATTTGGATGCTTCCTAAAGAGCTACTTTAAATCTTTAAAATATGGAAAAATCGAAATATTTGCAATTTGCAAGTAAGAAGCATTCAGGTGCTAACCTAATTTATCTACAATGTACTGTGGTAAAGTGACAATGACTCATCCACTTACTGCACAGTAAAAACCTGCCCAAGACCGGTTTACTGAGAGTAGATTTACTAGTATATTGAAGGCATGGAACGGAGAAATAAGACTGGTTTACAGAGAGTTGATTTACTAGTGTATAACAAGGCTGGTTTATAGGGAGTTGATTTAACTTCTGTGCTAGTGTTTAGAAGGCATGGGACGGGAAAAAAGGCCGGTTTATAGAGAGTTGATTTAACCTCTGTGCTAGTGTTTAGAAGGCATAGGACGGGGAAAAAAGGCCGGTTTATAGAGAGTTGATTTAACCCCTGTGCTAGTGTTTAGAAGGCATGGGACGGAAAAAAGGCCGATTTATAGAGAGTTGATTTAACCTCTGTGCTAGTGTTTAGAAGGCATAGGCCAGTTAGCAGAATAGACAGAGTCTGAATTAGCCAGAAGATTAATTACTATCGTTAAAGAAGAGTTTTCCAGGGACAAAAAAAGTTTGGATGGATTTAGATCCGGTTTGGTCAGAGTCTGGTTTACTTAGAATCCACTGTATTATTATTTAAAACAGGAAAGGAAGTACAAAAGAATGAGAATGATTGTGAATTGGTTGAGTTTTGATGGATCATTGCAATTGAAATCTGTGAATATGACGTAATGTAACAACCAAATTAGCCCTCGTAATGGGAATGTGCGGAGCACAATAAACTTTCTACAATGAGTGACACATTCATTGAAGCGTGGCGTTATCTGCGGTGCCGATCCATTTCCTCTACTATGGCGATAAGCCTCTGTCGTGCTTTTTTGTTGATATGGTCGACTGTGTTGATGAGGGACAGCAACTGCTTGTTGGAGTACTCCTGATAGAATATGAAAGAAATAGATAAACTTGGGTCACAAAAAATATCTATCATACGTATGTATAAAACGATCTGTCCAAGTCACTGGGGTCAAACTGCCATTTGACCTAAAATTAAAATACTGTCCGAGACCATATTTCTCAATTGCTTTTAATAGGTAATTTTGGCCAATCTATTAAAGAATGATTACAGTATTCAACATCAACAAGTTTTACCTGCCTTCCAAATGACCTTTGACCCAATGTTAAACTTAAACCTACTTTTCATACGAACTTGACCCTGTGTGTTAATATGTTGACCTTTATTGTGTTTTCTATGACCTTTGACACTACTGTGTTAATACATTGACTTACATTTGTACACAGTGTTCTAATACTCATTAACTTTGACCTACACTGTTTCTATGAACTTTGGCCTTTGATCCTATGTTTATACTTTGACCTACACTGTTTCTATGCACTTTGGCCTAAGTTATGTTCTACTCGTAGTGTTTTACTTGTAATGGCGGTCGGGTGGGGCAGTGGATAACGCACTCGCCTTTCACCAAGGTGGCTGGAGTTTGATTCCTTGATTGGATGTGAATACTCATGTGGTCATCTTCCCAACCACATCGGTTTTCTGCAGTTAATCTGGTTTCCCCCAAAAAATTAAGCCTCCCCCCCACCCCCAAACGCTAGCATCCGGGCCACCAAGAGTGAATAATGTAAGTTGACATAACTTGTTTCATAATTGTTGTAAAATAAACAATAAAGTTTATAATCCTTGTAATAATGCGACCTACTTTGTGCTCTAGTATCCAGGATTCCATCTGACTCTCTGGTAGGTAATAAGCTTTGATGTAGGCCTCCACATAATCTCTCTCTGGGATAGGTCTGTAACAGAGGACACTTATCAAACCAACATCTTCATTTGGATGCTTTTTGTTGAAAATCCTTGGAATAAAAACTTAACTTTATAATTAAATGGCTGAACGCAATAGATAGCTAAAATAAATACCTTAGATCTACGATAGTCTCAAGCTTGGACAGAAACTGTTGGAAATCCAGCTGCATCAAAGCTCTCCCCTCGTTACTGCACTTTTTAGCACCAGCATACCTACAGGTAAAACAATCCCAGTACATAACATTCAAACATACCTACAGGTAAAACAATCCCAGTACATAACAATTAAACATACCTACAGGAAAAACAATCCCAGTACATAACAATCAAACATACCTACAGGTAAAGCAATCCCAGTACATAACAATCAAGCATACCTACAGGTAAAGCAATCCCAGTACATAACAATCAAAAATACCTACAGGAAAAACAATCCCAATGCATAACAATCAAACATACCTTCAGGTAAAACAATCCCAGTACTTAACAATTAAACATACCTACAGGTAAACCAACCCCAGTACATAACATTCAAACATCCCTACAGGTAAAACAATCCCATTACATAACATTCAAACATACCCACAGGTAAAACAATCCCAGTACTTAACAATTAAACATACCTACAGGTAAACCAACCCCAGTACATAACATTCAAACATACCTACAGGAAAAACAATCCCAATGCATAACAATCAAACATACCTACAGGTGAAACAATCCCAGTACATAACAATCAAACATACCTACAGGTAAAACAATCCCAATGCATAACAATTAAACATACCTACAGGTAAAACAATCCCAGTACATAACAATTAAACATACCTACAGGATAAATAAACATAAAGCTTAAAATAATGTCTGATCAAGTTGAAGCAGGATTAAGGAATTTTCCATATAAAAATAACATTTGGTAAAAATATGTCGGTGACATTTGACATGAAGAGTTATCCTGTCTATCTTTCAAATCTATATCCTGTAATGAATTCATTAAGGAGTTTTCAGATATTTTCTGAACTTTCATTATAAAGTGAAAACTGCTCAGCTATCAGTTACTTTTATTTAGGGACTAATTTCCATTGATCACAGAAAATCAGTGACGCAGAAACTGCAGTAAACATTTGTATAAGGCAGCTGTACATCATAGATTTTTTTGATGGCAATTTTGGGGAAAGTATATAATAATCTGGTGGAGATGGGTTGTGTCTCATCAGTCCTTACCCTTCGACAATCGTCCGGTTTGCAAGGCGTACACAGTGTTCCCACACGAGGTCATATACAACCTTTGGTATTGGAACTCTTCTGTTAATATCCACTAGTCTTACCGACAACTGCTCCAAACTCTGTCAAACATATAACACAAACATCTCATCAACAGCTGCTCAAAACTCTGTCAAACATATAAACATTCATATTTTACCAACAGCTGTGACAAACTCTATATAACATAAACATTTCACCGACAGCTGTGACAAACTCTATATAACATAAACATTTCACCGACAGCTGTGACAAACTCTATATAACATAAACATTTCACCGACAGCTGTGACAAACTCTATATAACATAAACATTTCACCGACAGCTGTGACAAACTCTATATAACATAAACATTTCACCGACAGCTGTGACAAACTCTATATAACATAAACATTTCACCGACAGCTGTGACAAACTCTATATAACATAAACATTTCACCGACAGCTGTGACAAACTCTATATAACATAAACATTTCACCGACAGCTGTGACAAACTCTATATAACATAAACATTTCACCGACAGCTGTGACAAACTCTATATAACATAAACATTTCACCGACAGCTGTGACAAACTCTATATAACATAAACATTTCACCGACAGCTGTGACAAACTCTATATAACATAAACATTTCACCGACAGCTGTGACAAACTCTATATAACATAAACATTTCACCGACAGCTGTGACAAACTCTATATAACATAAACATTTCACCGACAGCTGTGACAAACTCTATATAACATAAACATTTCACCGACAGCTGTGACAAACTCTATATAACATAAACATTTCACCGACAGCTGTGACAAACTCTATATAACATAAACATTTCACCGACAGCTGTGACAAACTCTATATAACATAAACATTTCACCGACAGCTGTGACAAACTCTATATAACATAAACATTTCACCGACAGCTGTGACAAACTCTATATAACATAAACATTTCACCGACAGCTGTGACAAACTCTATATAACATAAACATTTCACCGACAGCTGTGACAAACTCTATATAACATAAACATTTCACCGACAGCTGTGACAAACTCTATATAACATAAACATTTCACCGACAGCTGTGACAAACTCTATATAACATAAACATTTCACCGACAGCTGTGACAAACTCTATATAACATAAACATTTCACCGACAGCTGTGACAAACTCTATATAACATAAACATTTCACCGACAGCTGTGACAAACTCTATATAACATAAACATTTCACCGACAGCTGTGACAAACTCTATATAACATAAACATTTCACCGACAGCTGTGACAAACTCTATATAACATAAACATTTCACCGACAGCTGTGACAAACTCTATATAACATAAACATTTCACCGACAGCTGTGACAAACTCTATATAACATAAACATTTCACCGACAGCTGTGACAAACTCTATATAACATAAACATTTCACCGACAGCTGTGACAAACTCTATATAACATAAACATTTCACCGACAGCTGTGACAAACTCTATATAACATAAACATTTCACCGACAGCTGTGACAAACTCTATATAACATAAACATTTCACCGACAGCTGTGACAAACTCTATATAACATAAACATTTCACCGACAGCTGTGACAAACTCTATATAACATAAACATTTCACCGACAGCTGTGACAAACTCTATATAACATAAACATTTCACCGACAGCTGTGACAAACTCTATATAACATAAACATTTCACCGACAGCTGTGACAAACTCTATATAACATAAACATTTCACCGACAGCTGTGACAAACTCTATATAACATAAACATTTCACCGACAGCTGTGACAAACTCTATATAACATAAACATTTCACCGACAGCTGTGACAAACTCTATATAACATAAACATTTCACCGACAGCTGTGACAAACTCTATATAACATAAACATTTCACCGACAGCTGTGACAAACTCTATATAACATAAACATTTCACCGACAGCTGTGACAAACTCTATATAACATAAACATTTCACCGACAGCTGTGACAAACTCTATATAACATAAACATTTCACCGACAGCTGTGACAAACTCTATATAACATAAACATTTCACCGACAGCTGTGACAAACTCTATATAACATAAACATTTCACCGACAGCTGTGACAAACTCTATATAACATAAACATTTCACCGACAGCTGTGACAAACTCTATATAACATAAACATTTCACCGACAGCTGTGACAAACTCTATATAACATAAACATTTCACCGACAGCTGTGACAAACTCTATATAACATAAACATTTCACCGACAGCTGTGACAAACTCTATATAACATAAACATTTCACCGACAGCTGTGACAAACTCTATATAACATAAACATTTCACCGACAGCTGTGACAAACTCTATATAACATAAACATTTCACCGACAGCTGTGACAAACTCTATATAACATAAACATTTCACCGACAGCTGTGACAAACTCTATATAACATAAACATTTCACCGACAGCTGTGACAAACTCTATATAACATAAACATTTCACCGACAGCTGTGACAAACTCTATATAACATAAACATTTCACCGACAGCTGTGACAAACTCTATATAACATAAACATTTCACCGACAGCTGTGACAAACTCTATATAACATAAACATTTCACCGACAGCTGTGACAAACTCTATATAACATAAACATTTCACCGACAGCTGTGACAAACTCTATATAACATAAACATTTCACCGACAGCTGTGACAAACTCTATATAACATAAACATTTCACCGACAGCTGTGACAAACTCTATATAACATAAACATTTCACCGACAGCTGTGACAAACTCTATATAACATAAACATTTCACCGACAGCTGTGACAAACTCTATATAACATAAACATTTCACCGACAGCTGTGACAAACTCTATATAACATAAACATTTCACCGACAGCTGTGACAAACTCTATATAACATAAACATTTCACCGACAGCTGTGACAAACTCTATATAACATAAACATTTCACCGACAGCTGTGACAAACTCTATATAACATAAACATTTCACCGACAGCTGTGACAAACTCTATATAACATAAACATTTCACCGACAGCTGTGACAAACTCTATATAACATAAACATTTCACCGACAGCTGTGACAAACTCTATATAACATAAACATTTCACCGACAGCTGTGACAAACTCTATATAACATAAACATTTCACCGACAGCTGTGACAAACTCTATATAACATAAACATTTCACCGACAGCTGTGACAAACTCTATATAACATAAACATTTCACCGACAGCTGTGACAAACTCTATATAACATAAACATTTCACCGACAGCTGTGACAAACTCTATATAACATAAACATTTCACCGACAGCTGTGACAAACTCTATATAACATAAACATTTCACCGACAGCTGTGACAAACTCTATATAACATAAACATTTCACCGACAGCTGTGACAAACTCTATATAACATAAACATTTCACCGACAGCTGTGACAAACTCTATATAACATAAACATTTCACCGACAGCTGTGACAAACTCTATATAACATAAACATTTCACCGACAGCTGTGACAAACTCTATATAACATAAACATTTCACCGACAGCTGTGACAAACTCTATATAACATAAACATTTCACCGACAGCTGTGACAAACTCTATATAACATAAACATTTCACCGACAGCTGTGACAAACTCTATATAACATAAACATTTCACCGACAGCTGTGACAAACTCTATATAACATAAACATTTCACCGACAGCTGTGACAAACTCTATATAACATAAACATTTCACCGACAGCTGTGACAAACTCTATATAACATAAACATTTCACCGACAGCTGTGACAAACTCTATATAACATAAACATTTCACCGACAGCTGTGACAAACTCTATATAACATAAACATTTCACCGACAGCTGTGACAAACTCTATATAACATAAACATTTCACCGACAGCTGTGACAAACTCTATATAACATAAACATTTCACCGACAGCTGTGACAAACTCTATATAACATAAACATTTCACCGACAGCTGTGACAAACTCTATATAACATAAACATTTCACCGACAGCTGTGACAAACTCTATATAACATAAACATTTCACCGACAGCTGTGACAAACTCTATATAACATAAACATTTCACCGACAGCTGTGACAAACTCTATATAACATAAACATTTCACCGACAGCTGTGACAAACTCTATATAACATAAACATTTCACCGACAGCTGTGACAAACTCTATATAACATAAACATTTCACCGACAGCTGTGACAAACTCTATATAACATAAACATTTCACCGACAGCTGTGACAAACTCTATATAACATAAACATTTCACCGACAGCTGTGACAAACTCTATATAACATAAACATTTCACCGACAGCTGTGACAAACTCTATATAACATAAACATTTCACCGACAGCTGTGACAAACTCTATATAACATAAACATTTCACCGACAGCTGTGACAAACTCTATATAACATAAACATTTCACCGACAGCTGTGACAAACTCTATATAACATAAACATTTCACCGACAGCTGTGACAAACTCTATATAACATAAACATTTCACCGACAGCTGTGACAAACTCTATATAACATAAACATTTCACCGACAGCTGTGACAAACTCTATATAACATAAACATTTCACCGACAGCTGTGACAAACTCTATATAACATAAACATTTCACCGACAGCTGTGACAAACTCTATATAACATAAACATTTCACCGACAGCTGTGACAAACTCTATATAACATAAACATTTCACCGACAGCTGTGACAAACTCTATATAACATAAACATTTCACCGACAGCTGTGACAAACTCTATATAACATAAACATTTCACCGACAGCTGTGACAAACTCTATATAACATAAACATTTCACCGACAGCTGTGACAAACTCTATATAACATAAACATTTCACCGACAGCTGTGACAAACTCTATATAACATAAACATTTCACCGACAGCTGTGACAAACTCTATATAACATAAACATTTCACCGACAGCTGTGACAAACTCTATATAACATAAACATTTCACCGA